TCTTATTTTATTGTTGTTTTAATTGCTTGTTTTAAAGTTACCATCATTACTGCTTGTTTTAAACTTGTTACCATTATTAATAGGCATAGTCTACTTTGTTGTTATTTTTATTGTAGTTCTTAGGTCCCATTCTATATTTATCAGCTTCATTATTTATTATTGCACGATTTCTGTTACCTCTGACCTTATTATTTGCTACTTATTTATTTAGTTATGGTTCACAGTCTGAATTAGCATTAATTGATTATTTAGAACTTTCAGCCCCTACCATCTTGTAGGCAATAACTAGTTTTATACAATATTGTATTCATGGAGAAACAGTTTATAAATAAATAAATATAGTGCATAATCCTACAGTACCTAGTTCTTATAGTGCGTAACATTTATGCAGCACTATAGAACAAAATTCGAATTATGCACTGTATAACAAATTCACGAGTAGGCAGTGTAGGATTATGCACTATCAGACTCCATGAAACTAAAAATATTGTTGTTTGTTGTGTTTAGTTTTTCTTACTCTTACTTTACCTTACGAACGATACGATACGAGAAGTCGCTGAATGAATGAGCAGAACAGTGTTGCCACTTTTAGGGTAATTACCCTTTTTTAGGGTAATTTTCGGGTCTTAGGGTAAAGTTTAGGGTAATGGTAGATTTAGGGTAATTTTAGGGTAAAATCACAAGAATTTTTAATAATAAATTTTTTTAATAAAACCTCTTAAAACGACAAAATTCATGGAATAAAGTCAACAATTTGTAAGATACAAACAATAACAGGTAGGTAACCTAAGTAAAACACACTATAAATAATATTGCCAATAATTTAACTACAAAACATCAAAAACAAAAACAGAAAGGTGACACAAGTGCTTTAAGCAAATAAATGTAATTTGGTAATCCCCAAAAGATATGGTAAATGAGCTGTGTATTAACAATAAGAAATAAAACATGGTGACATGACATGAAATAAAAAACAAACTGAAAGAAATCTAGGTAAAATATGGCAGTACAAAAAGAGGAACTTTCAAGCCTAAATCTATGTACTGTACAGGTAACAAGGCTGTGAAAATGTAAACTGGTCAATGACAACAGAGCTACAGTTTAAATCTGAAATATAAATTGTAAATAGATTTTTATTTTGGTAACTTACTTACTTATTAGGTTGTATAAGTACATTGTAAATATACATAAAAATAATAAATAACTCAAACTATAGGTTTATAACTGAGATCGTTTCTTTTAAGTAAACAAAATCATTTAAATCATCCCAAATAATTTGTTTTGGATTTTCTTGTCTTGTGACTATTTATTCACTCAACCTAAACTCTTAAAATCAAGTAAAAAAATTGTATTATACAATTAAACAGCAGGTAGGCAACCTAAATTACAACACATACTTAAATAATAATTCATTACTCCAAAAATCTGAAACGCCTCTATAAATAATATTGCAAATAGGTAATGAAACTACAGTAAAAAGTTTTAAAAACATACAGGTAAGAACTAAGAACACAAGTTAAGTAGGCTACTTTACGCAAATGAAGGTGTTTTTGTATCATAATCAAACAGAAATAATAAATGTGTCAAATTTACAATCAAAAATAATTAAAACATGGAGACATAAGAAAGAAAACTTATTAATACACATCACAAATAAAGCTAAGCCAATAAAATTGCAAAAAATTAAACTTACCTACAACAAATCAAATCAGAAAATAAAGAACATAAGTTAAGTAGGCTACTTTACTCAAATAAAGGTATGTTGATATTCAAATTCAACTTAAATGGTTAATGTGCCATACTGTATGCATAACCAACAATTTAACTTGAAGACAAATGAAAGCAATCTTAATAATGAATCACAAAAAGCTAAGCCTGATGTAGAGTTGGCCTACATAAAATGTAAACTGGTCAATGACTTAACGGAAAATATAATATAGGTAGCCTACAACTTATCAGTTAAATTGTAAATAGATATCAAAATAATAAATATAACTTAATTGTACAACTGAGATCATTAAAAGGAACAATATATCTGGGCTACATTCATTTCATATTGTTCTTGGTCTTCTCTTCTTATGACTATGCACTTGACCATTTCTTCTTTAGGATGTTTGATTGAGGCTCAAATGATATGCAGCTACCTACACTTTGTTTTGTGTGGAGAAGAGCACAAATGGTTTTGTCCTGGAGTTTGTTTCTGTGGCTTGTTTTTATCAGGTTGAGTTGACTAAAAATCCTTTCAACCGACGCATTGGATGATGGAAGGCACAACAGTAGTGATATCACCTTTTTCAGATTAGGGAAGACTTCCTGGTTTGCTGCATTTCTCAACTTAAATACTGCGAGCCAGAAGTTTAACACACCGAGGCTTCATCGGTACATGGCGATTCCTCAACGGCTAGTTGACGCCACTCGCTGTCTAATTTTTGGATTTCAACATCTTTTAAGTATGATGAAAACCTATCAAAAATAGGTTTTAGAGAAGGTGTTGTCATCTTTCTTATTTCTTTCGGGTCGAGTACATTCAAAAATGAGTAAATGTCATCATCAAAAGTGAACCTTTTCTGCAGCTCGGCCACCAACACAATGTAGAAACAACGACAGTGTTCATGCACTTGCGACATTTCCTCTGTGCTGGATTTTTCTTGAAATACCTCATGTGCATTAACCCCAACATACACCTTATCTCTTGAAACATAGTTTTCTTCGCTGTACGGATCAATTGTCCATGCATCAGTTTGTCGGACGTAATCAATGTTCATAAAATTCATGGATATGTCTCTGATCAGCTTCCCGATTTGTGGTTTTAGTTTAACCAATACAGGTCCATCTGTTTGAAAGAGAATGTTTAATCCAGTCACAAGATCCAAGACATAAGACAAAAAATGCAAATAGAAAATTGTTGATGCTTTGTTCAAAGTTGTCAATACATTCTGTGTGGTCTTGGATGGGTCTTCAAAAACCTGAATCATAAAATACTGTGTCAGAGCTTTATATTGTTCAATGACACGGTCCACAGAGTTCTTGAGACTTAACCATCTGGTTTGCCCACTCCTCAAAATGTTATGTTTTTCAAGCTCATAAAATTCTTGGAACTCGGCTAAAACGATCCTCCTTTGGTAGCTTCTGTGGAAGTGAGCATATACGTCACGTAGAAGATCTTCGATCTCTAGCGGCAATCTCTTGCAAGCATGTGAAGCTGCTAGATGCAACTGGTGGCTCGAACACTTTATGAGACATATTTGAGGTAGTTCATTTTTTAGTTTGGAAAAAACTGAATTTGACTCACCAACCATGACGTTTGGGGTATCAGAACAAAATCCCACAAGGTTTTCAATGGGAATATCCTTTTGGTCCAGAGTTTCCTTTAATGATTGAAATAGATGTTCTGAATCCCCCTTAGCACATTCTGTTAAATGTAAAAACTTTGTTTCCAGTGAGTTATTTTTCTCATCAAAGTAAATCACTGTAAAAGCGCATTGCTTAATCGATCCCTTATCAGTTGTTTCATCGAGGACTAAGGAAAATACTGAATTCCTTAAAGTTCCTCTCAAAGCATTATCGAATTCAGGACCCAAAACATTGGTGATAAGGCAAGATGTCTTAGTCCTCTTTGACTTCATCTTTTTTTGCAATCTCAGAGTCATCATAAATAGAAGCTGCCAAGGGTATGATTGTGTCAATTAAAGAAATTGGCAAGTTTTTTTCTGCCAACATAGCAGCCCATTTGAGCTCCCCTCTTCTGATCTTTAAATCAATTGGTGTATGCAGGCACTTAGTCAGATCTTCTGTGTGCTGAATAGATTTAGACATTTGTTTGTGTCTATTAGACTGTGAATGCCGATAAATTTCCGACCTACCACAAGTGATGTTTTGTTCACAGATTTTGCAGTAGGCCATATCCTCATGCTTAGGCCCTTTCCTACTAGATTTTGAAAGCCATCCAGCAAAATTAGGAACAGATTCCCAAGAGGATACATACTTTTGCAAATATATTTTCTTATGGGGGGAACGAATTTCTTTGTGGAAAGCTTTACTATTTTTTTTTTTACTTTTGGCTGCTGAGGTTACTTGGGGGGTTGTCTCTATGGCTATTTCTTCCTCATAATCGTCAAATGTTGTAGGCACTGGCAGATCAGAATTGTCATCTCTGGGTTTGTAAAAACTAATAACATAATTATGGTCTTGTACACTAATTTCAGCTGAAGTTGTGCTGCATGCAGGCATATACTCACTAACACCCGTTGCAGACGTACTGGCCGTAGGTTCATACTCAAACACATTTGGAGATTTTTTATCAGGACATATCCCTAACGTTGAAGAGGGTTTAGATAGTAGTCCAGGTCCAGGAGGAGTTTCATTTCCTTCAGAATGCACTGTATACTGTCACTTTGGGTAGTTTTGAAGAAACTTGTAATTTTAGAGGTCTGCTTTGTTTCCTTTTTTTCGGGTCGCCTTCTCTTCATTTTTGCCAAGTAATACCATAAAAGTTAATTTGATAAAAGTATGTCACATTCACAACACAACTAAACTTATTAAAGGATGGTAGGAACAAAAAAGTATCAGATAACAAACAGTGTCAACAGCATGTAGACGACATAACACATAACATCAAGGCAAGGCAACCAGACAGGACAGAACAGAGAACTCAGCAGCAGGAGATCCTTGTCAGTGATACCAACCAAGTTTCAGAATTCAGATTTGAAGTATTGAGTTATTTCATGTAATTTATATACTCGAATTTGAATCATGTATTAAATTGATATTGCAACCTTAATTAGTATAACAAACAACCTTATATACTATTTATACATGTATTTAGTGTTATAAATACAAAATTTACTTTTAGGGTAATTTTTAGGGTAATTCAAAATATGTTTAGGGTAATTTAGGGTAATTTTTACTCGTATTTAGGGTAAAACTGCAACAGCCCAGTGGCAACACTGGAGCAGAATGCAGAATAGTTTAGTTTGCCTTGCTATTGCCAAAATGCCAAATGCCAATCTGCCAAACAAACTTAACCTCAAAATAAGTCATTTTTAAAGGTTTTAACGTTTGAATTGAACTGTATTTTAATATTCATTATCATTACTAGAGCGTTATCTTTAAGCAAATGTAATTATTGTTGTAGGTATTGACTTTGAGTGGTTTTTTGAAATGTGAATTTTATTAAATCAATGTAAAACTGGATTAGTTGCTACCGACACTAGCCTATGGTTCTCACACTTGACTTGGATAAAAACATAATTTGGTAGAAACAAAACAAGACACAATGGTTAATTTTGTAATCCTATTAGGACTACTCTACCGTTCATTGACAAATCATGAGATATAAGACTGCAAAATTACGTTCAAATCGTCATCAAGATCAAGTATAAACTCCTAATGAGGTAAGTTCAGATTTTCAGGGAGAGGTCTCTTGAAACTTAAGACAATTAATTACTACACCCTCATCTTAGATTTTTACAAGGTTAATGAACACTGGCAGCTTTATGGACTCGATCTTAGGTATATAAGGACTTGCTTCGGCAGTGGTAAAATTGGAAGGTAGGCCTACTTTCCTGTTAAGGGGAACATTCATTATTAAATTACCGATGATTTCTTTTCGATACATCGATAATTTTGTTTTCTTTTACGATCCATATTCCATCTGTTTTAATATCTTCAAACAAATTTAAATTACAGACAAACAGAAATAGCAAATAGGCCTAGATGTCTAAGTTAATATATAGGCCTACTTAGTTCAATAACCGAGTTATTGAGTTAACTTCCTACCTGAATTACCTCCTCTTCATCGATGACCAGCCTAGGCTGGATAGATAGCGTCAAAGAAAAAATAAAAACTAATTTAGATATATTAGGCCTATAATAATGGTACTATACCTCGTCAAGTAGTCCAAATGTTGTTTGAGGTTAACAACCTACATGTTTCGCCGTAAATACGGCATCGTCAGGGTTACAAAAACGAAGACATCGACAGGTTTTGTAACCCTGACGATGCCGTATTTACGGCGAAACATGTAGGTTGTTAACCTCAAACAACATTTGGACTACTTGACGAGGTATAGTACCATTATTATAGTCATATAAAGTAATCCAGGGGCCATCAACATGGAATTTAATATATTAGGCCCTATATACATTTAAAACTGTGTGGTGGCGGTGGTTGACAGCTAGTTAATTGCGCCAGCATACTTGAAGAACTCAGTAGTGAGTAAAAAGGGTTCTCCAATAAAAATTGTTTAATTTTATTTGTGAACACTCTTGTGTCAAGTTCTGTTATTTTATCAGGCAGAGCATTGTGTACGGTACATCCTGACAGTTTGGGAAACTGTCTCTTGTCATAGTTAGTCTATAGCGATCTGTATTTAATTTACAGGCACCTCGGACATTATGGTCATGCATGTCACTCCTTGTTTCATAAGAGTCCAAATTTCTTTTGACGTGCAGAAGGCAATTATAGGTGATATGATAGAAAACAGTAAAAACATTCAGCATTTTGAAAAGTGGTCTGCAATGTGTCCATCTTTCGCTGCTTGTAATTATTCTTAGGGCATTCCAGTTTGAGAATCTTAGTACAGGCGGGTGCGTGGCCCTGGAGTATGATGCCATAGTTGATGTGACTGTGAAATAAGGAGAAATAGACCATCAGAAGATATTGTTTTTAGTGAGCTGGTGCTTAAGTTTTCTTAAGAGGAAATTGACTCTACTCAGCCTAAGACACCCTGTGTTAAAATTGAGGAGTTTGGCTGGAATATCTTGAGATGGAGATGATTTACTGAGTGTGTACAGGAGCTTTTGCGTTTTTATCTTCGTGTAACCTGAGGCCATTAAGTGAGAACCAATTTCTTTCCCCTTCAAACAGCTGGTCAGATTTGGTTATTGCTTTGTGGGGGCACTGTCCCTTGCCGAACAAGGTTGTGTCATCTGCATAGAGTAGGGGATCCCTTTCTCGTCCAAGGTCATTCATTAGGATTATAAACATGGTGGGCCCTAATATAGAGCCTTGCGGCACTCCATGGCAGCTGGAGCGGAGAACGCTCCATCAACTGACACAATCTGGTACCTATTTTCAAAATACGAGTAAAAAGTCTTAAGCACTGTCCCTCCAACACTGTCCCTGGTGTTTCTGTCACCAGGGAAGTAAGAGCAGTAGTGGTAGATCTGCCTTTGCGAAACCCATGCTGTGAACTTGTGAAGTAAGTCTCAAAGAATGCTACTAGGCTATCTGATTTTGCATGATTTTCTCAACAATTTTGGCTACTATGGGTATAATCGATATGGGTTGCCAACTAGAGGCAAGGTTTGTGTCGCCTTTCTTGAAGATAGGGATAGTTCTTGAAATTCTCAAATAGTCGGGGAAGATACCTTCGGCCAGACAGCCGTTTACAATGATTGAGAGTGGTACAGCAATGGTTTCTACAATTTCCTTAAGGAGGTAGGTTGAAAGACCGTAAATGTCCGCACTGCGGGAGTTTAAAAAATCTTTGGTGATTTTTATGATGAGGTGTTGTAGGACTCCACTTTTTAAATTCAGTCGCTGAAGCAACTGACACACCGTCAGCAGCACTTTCATTTCCAGGGGCTTGTTGTACATTTACAATCTCTTTCACAATATTTACAAAATAAGAATTATAATCATCAGGGCTTAAAGTACTATTTACAATTTCCTTCTTCCTAGACTCGTTGACTACTGCCCACGCCGCCTTGCATTTGTTGTTCGATTTCTCGATTAATTCCACTGTAGGCCTATACAATTTCTTAGTAGTGTCAACTTTACCCTTATAGCTACGTTTAATAATAATAATAATTATAATAATTATAGCATAGACTAACAAACAATAGCTCGTATTAAAGAATAGGATTAAGAACTAATCTTGTTTAGGCAAAAATAATAACCTATAGGCCTATATTGGATTAAGAAATGAAACTATTCTAAACTAACCTAACATAACTAACCAAACTTGTTGTAGGCCAAGTTTAGTTAGGGCCTACTGTTTCAAAATTCCGTTTGATAACAGAAAAGGCATATGGGGAATAGGCAATCAAACGGAATTTTGAAATGTTATACAGCAAGTTTGGTTAGTTTAGAACAGTTTCTTTCAATATAATATTTTTTTATTGTTTGTGTTTTAATGTTTAATGGCCAAATAAACTTAATCAAATCAATATTATTCATTCTGATAGCCCCTGGACTACGAATAATGACTTATATAGGCTTACCTCCGTCAGTAGTCCAAAATTGTGTCTTATTTCAACTAATGTTGTTCAAAGCTTACATGTTTCGTTGCACTGCAACATCGTCAGAGCTTTATGTCAAAAACATCAAATAATTTAAACATAGAACAAAACACGGATGTTTAAATTATTAGATGTTTTTGACATAAAGCTCCGACGATGTTGCAGTGCAACGAAACATGTAAGCTTTGAACAACATTAGTTGAAATAAGACACAATTTTGGACTACTGACGGAGGTAAGCCTATATAAGTAATCAAATCAAATCAAATCAAATCAAAGCTTTATTTCCCAATACAATTGCATGTGGAATGGTCAATGAAAGGTATTATTTTGGTAAACATTTGTCAAGGAAGAGTGCAATGGATGTAGAGTACAAGGTCAAATCAAAAGATACAATTTGAATTTGAACTAGGCTATATTTATTTATCATAGTTGTCAGCTGATAAGTTTCAATATTTTACTTATCAATATATCGGATGAAAAAAATATCGATATAGGCCTATCGAAAAGAAATCATCGATAATAGGCTAATGAATGTTCCCTTTAACAGGAAAGTACCAATTGGAATGATAAAGAGGATATTAGCATGGCCCCTGTGCAAGGACGGCAATTGGATATCAAATCAAATCATTTATTGTCCATCAGGGTGTTTTTTTAAAAACTTGCATCTTTATTTATGTAAAAACCGCAATAGATAGAAATATGCAGTTTGCGGGAATCATCTATTGACGTAGGGGGACCAATTGTTTTGAATTCAACGTTACATTCACATTCCCCCCCTTTCCCCCCCTGCCCCCAACTTAATTTTTTTAAATAGCAAGGTGCCCCTTGTGACATATCAAATAAAAGAGCATGAAAAAAGAAAATTTTTGATGAAAAAAAATTGAAAATCGGTTCATAAATTTGTGAGATATTTCCCCCCTCACCCCCCCGGAACTTAATTTTTGTTTAATAGCAAAGTGCCCCTTGTGACATATCAAATGAAAGAGCATGAAAAAAGAAAAATTTTGGCGAAATTTATTTTTCATTTGATATGTCACAAGGGCGGGTACCTTGCTATTAAAAAACAAGTTATGGGTAGGGGAAAAGGGGGGTGATTATCTCACAAATTCATGAGCCGATTTTAATTTTTTTTTCACCAAAAATTTTCTTTTTTCATGCTCTTTCATTTGATATGTCACAAGGGGTACTTTGCTATTAAAAAGAAATTAAGTTCCGGGAGGGGTGAGGGGGGGAATATCTCACAAATTTATGAACCGATTTTCAATTTTTTTTCATCAAACATTTTCTTTTTTTATGCTCTTTTATTTGATATGTCACAAGGGGTACCTTGCTATTTAAAAAAAATAAGTTGGTGGCAGGGGGGGAAAGGGGGGGAATGTGAATGTAACGTTGAATTCAAAACAATTGGTCCCCCTACGTCAATAGATGATTCCCGCAAACTGCATATTTCTATCTATTGCGGTTTTTACATAAATAAAGATGCAAGTTTTTAAAAAAACACCCTGTATACAATGCATAGACAAAAGTCACCAATGTCAAAATAAAAGTCATACAGAAAAAAGAATACAATTTCAATGTATATAAACAATATTACCTCTTGGTGTACAAACCTGGGCTCAACTTAGATCACTCAAAATGTAGTTTTTCCAAATTGTTATGAATCTGAAACTTTTGATGAATACGGTTTTTTTTTAACTAGCCAATTCTTCAAAGCAATTTTGAATTTAGTGCCTTCTAATTCCTTTATATTGTTTGGTAGGAGGTTGAAATAAATTGACCCCATCACAAAAGGACTTCGGCCAGTTTGTTTAAATTCCTCCTCACACGGTGAAAATCATCCTTTCGTCTTGTGTCGTACCTGTGGATTTGACTATTTTTATTTGTGTGCTTTACATCATTTTTCACAAACATAGTCAATTGATAAATGTATAGTCCATACAAAGTGAGGAGATATAAATTAACAAAAATATCTTTACAAGACCTTTTGTACCATACTTTGGCTATCAGTCTGATTGCTCTTTTCTGGAGAACAAAAATTGATATCCAAAATCAATGAACCAAAATAAATTCTTTTTAACGTATCTAGGTATCTAAATAAAAAGATATTCTTCTGAGGAGGCTGATTCCACTTAAAAGTCTAGATCTTACATGAGATATATGATTCTTAAAAGTTAAGGTCTGATCTATCTATAGTCCCAAAAACTTACAGCACTCTTTACTTTCAAAGATCACATCATCCTTAACTAAATCTATCAGAGGAATGCCCGTACTACTCAATCCGAAAACTACAATTTCTGTCTTATCAAGGTTGACTTTGAAATTAATATTTTCAAAATATGAGCTGGCTTTATGTACAAATTCGGCCGTGCCCTGCTTGAGTTCATCAAAAGACTGATAGTCCAGTGCAATTAGCTCCAAAATGGCAAAATTTGGGAAATTAAAAAAAAAAAAGTTGAAACCTGTTGGAAATCATTTATTAAGGTCTCCTGAACCCACAGAAGAAAGTCCCAGAAAATCCCATGGGGACTTTTCCGCCATTTTGAAAAATAAGTCGGCCATGTTGGATTTATGCAAGCCTTTACGGAAATGGGTGTTACTAGTAAACTAATTGACTTAAAAACCTCCTGTTTGCATAAAAATGTCTTGTAAACTCCAGGCTAGATATTAAATATAAAAATACCCCCGCCCCAGCAAACCTGCAGACTAAGCGAATTTCCATTTGCCTGAATTTATTTTAAATGAAATCTATTTAAATAACATTAGGTTTAACGAGTACCTAAGTTTGATATTACAGGTAGGCCTAGCCTAATAAAATGTGTTTTTAGTAAAATATTAGTAGATTAATATAAAATAGATAAATTTTCCATGGTTAATCAATAAATTTCCATAAACAAGCAAACTACTACATTTTATAATATTCTCCGTAAGAATAACATAGGCAATTTTAAATTTGCAGTTTTTTAAATTTTCTCCATAACCATTAACCGTACAAAAACAATTTGGGATACTGAATTGTTTTTTTTTTTTGTAAGCTATTTAAATGTCTTAAAGAGAAATTAGGAAATTATGTGTTTTGAGGGTCAAAATTTGAAAAAAATTTCTATCCCATAAAACCCCCTCGTAAAACCCTGTTCCCATAGTCCGATCATAATGGTTCGCGAAATCATTCAATTTTATCCCGCTTTACACCTTCAGACAATATTATGTCAAAATCAAACAAAAATTACTCAAGGCTACTTCCCCATAGGGAAATTCACAAAAATATGTTACTTTATTTTTTATACATTTATTTACTAATTTAAACCTTATTTATTTTGACATACTGTAACTAATAATTAGCATTTTTCACCAAGTATCCTTTTGGTTTGCTGTTATAAGGAAAACTGTTAATACAAATTAATTGTAGGGAATAAAATGTTCTTTAAAATACACTAAAAGGGTTTACCTAAATATTTTAACCATCCTACTCAAGAACCAATAGAAGCGTTCGTTACATTTTCGCTCAGACGCTCGACGGCCTAGCAGTTTTCACCACATTTCCCTTAAAGCTCCAAAGTTTTGTTTAAACGTTGTGGATATAGTAGACTGGATCATTCACTAGTTAATATTACCACTAGATTAACATCAGGGGCCCATTTCATAATAAACTACAAGTTACAAGTTACAACTTGTAACTTGCAATTTCCATAAGATTTGCATTGGGCGATCAGCTGATTTACTAATAATATTAGTTTGTACTTTATTATGAAATGGGCCCCAGGTCGTCAAGTTTATCTTCAGTAACTGGTAGTGTATTACCGCACCCAAATCCTGCACAGAGTCCGCACATATGAGAATAAGATAAGGAGCTTCTTCGGCACAATCAATACTTCTCGCAATCGCCTTTGCAGTTGCAGAATATAAGATTAAGTAGATTTTGATGAGCAGGTTGTTGAAGAGTTGTTACAGGTATTAGACCCTGACTAGCACTTAGCTTCCAGCCCCAGTCCGTAGCTGGGAGATTAACACCTTTCCACTGCTGAATTTGATGATAAGCCCTCAGGGTGTATTGAAGGGCTGCTGCTTTGGTTGGGGAATAGAGGCAAGGTTGAAATTTGCACTAAGTCTCTGCTTTGCTATTGTTCTTATGTACATGCGGTGCCTTGCAATGTTAAGGTCAGTTATTTCTCTACTAACACCATATATTTTAAGAAAGAATTACTCCCCAGCTGCTGCAATCTTGAGGAGATTTATCTTCATTGAATAGGCTATACTGACGGATCGGATTCCCGAAGTCCTGCATCGTTTCGGAGCTTCTTCTAGGCTGCTTTCTTTCCTTTAATGAATATGGCATAGGTTGTACCGCAATGCAACCTGCGTGAATGCGTGTAGCAGGAAAAGCAAATATTGTAACTCACCTAAACCTTCTTGCAGTTTCCTAATATTAAAAATGCGGTGAGGTTTGTTTCCTTTGGCAGGAATAACATGAATACGTTGCATCGAGTGAGTAATCAACAACACAAGAAGGTCTCTTTCTTGTACCAAAGTCTTGGTTGGGGAAATATGCAGAGCTGTTGAAACAATGAGAGTGTCTGCGTTAGATGTAGCTTGTGAAACCTGGCATCCCACGTTTGTGAGGTGTACAGTTAATAGTGCAATAAATCTTGATTTGTCAGTGGGGTTAGCAGGGAACTCTTTTTGAAATGTTGGTATTAATAAATCCAATTTCGCCTATTGGGTCTGATGATGATTGGAGTGTCCAATCGAAATCGATCACCACTTACCATCTTTTGTATATTTACCGTCTTGTGAGTAACAGTATAAGCGTAAATATATGTTTCAAGTGTTATAAGACGTATCTTTATTTACTTTCCATATTACTAAATCATCCTCATTTTTCTCATTTTTGACCCTCAAAACTAAAAATTTCCCAATTTCTCTCTAGACTTTATTAAAGAGCTTAAAAAACAAATAATTTAGTATATCAAAATGTTTTTGTACGGTTAATGGTTATGGAGAAAATTTAAAAAACTGCAAATTTAAAATTGCCTATGTTATTCTTACGGAGAATATTATAAAATGTAGTAGTTTGCTTGTTTATGGAAATTTATTGATTAACCATGGAAAATTTATCTATTTTATATTAATCTACTAATATTTTACTAAAAACACATTTTATTAGGCTAGGCCTACCTGTAATATCAAACTTAGGTACTCGTTAAACCTAATGTTATTTAAATAGATTTCATTTAAAATAAATTCAGGCAAATGGAAATTCGCTTAGTCTGCAGGTTTGCTGGGGCGGGGGTATTTTTATATTTAATATCTAGCCTGGAGTTTACAAGACATTTTTATGCAAACAGGAGGTTTTTAAGTCAATTAGTTTACTAGTAACACCCATTTCCGTAAAGGCTTGCATAAATCCAACATGGCCGACTTATTTTTCAAAATGGCGGAAAAGTCCCCATGGGATTTTCTGGGACTTTCTTCTGTGGGTTCAGGAGACCTTAATAAATGATTTCCAACAGGTTTCAACTTTTTTTTTTAATTTCCTTACCCAAATGCTAATTGCACTGGACTATGAGCCCAGCATACACCTGACGTGTCGTCAGCATACATACTAATTTCAACGTTATTGATAGCAGGAAAATTACTAACATAGATATTATACAGATAAGGGCCCAAAATGGACCCTTGTGGGACTCCTGAAACAACATGTTTTAGTTCTGACATGACATTGTCCAATGACCAACCATTGTCATAAAAAATCTCGGTATACTGAATACGATTGTTTAAAAAGCTGCTAATCAACAATGTCAGCCAAGAAGGGAGGCCAATCTCAACTAACCTATTGACAAGGATTGCATGGTTGACCCTGTGTTTGGCTTTAGAGAGATCCAAACACACCCCAGCCACTTTACAACCACTATCCAACTTGTTCAAGGCAGTGTGGACAAATTCTGCAGCAGCCGATTAGGCCCAACTATAGGCTATAGTTGGCTATAATATAGGCCCAACTAATTAAGTTAAATCCCTCAGTTCATCAATCACGTAGGCCTAATGTATTTCAATGATCCAGAGGCCAGGCCTATTTCAACAGGATATTTTGATAGGCCTATCTTAGTGCACCCAAATTTAATTCAGAATAACTTCAGGGCAAACACCTACGCTAAGTCTAAGTTATTGGAAAAATTAAGCATGTTATGATGGGATTATTTCATTTTTACAATTGCTACAGCCAAATTGTAATTTTCAATCTTCTCTCGTTTTATTATTCTCTATTTCGAGGAGTAAGTAGACCTAAGTTATTCTAATTATTATAACAGTTCAGGTTTTTTTATTTGTTTGGGTAAGTTAGTGTTAGGCCTAATTTTTTTTAACACCAACAAGATAAGTTAAATAGGACTAGGTTAAAATATTCTTCTGTTTTGTGATCTATCATGTGTGCGTTGTGGGCTATTGTTATAAACATATTTTCCTTCAGTCTCTTTATTCGTATAGATCAAGTTAGCCACTACGTAAGTATATTTCCATCCCGTTCATGTAGGCCTAAATGGCGGTTTGTTGTTTACTACTTCTTTCTTCTTACTCTCCTCTTGATACTTGATACCTGTACTTGAATACTTATGGATCAGCTGTTATCTGGTAATACGTTGATAACGTTAAGAAAAAATATTAAAACATACTTTGTAATTAAAGTGTTTGAAACATTTTTTTGTCGTCATCAGCGTACTTAAATGTCGCCAACATGGCACACTCTTTCTCATTATATTATACTCGCTGATGTTCTCCAACGCGCTCAGAACTACTGCTTAAGATAATTTAATTATTAATTAAAATTAATTAATTATTAATTAATATTAATTAATTAATTATTAATTAATTATTAATTAATATGAATTAATTAATAATTAATTATTAATTAATATGAATTAATTAATAATTAATTAATTAATAATTAATTATCTGCTTAAGATTATTTTATTTATGATCTAAGACGCAGTGAGTGCATCACCCCTTTCTACATTCATTCTAAGTTATTAAAGCTATGTGACCTGAGACCAATCAAAACTCTTTTGCTAACCTATTAAATAATAAACCAAATTTCCAAAATATTTTATGGATGATTTTAGGTTTGTAAATAAATAAATAAGGTCTTTATTTGCAAGTGTTCATCAAAGTACAAACTCTGTTTTTCATTAAATGAAATGAAAAAAAAGATCTTTATTCATATGGTATACAGTCGCATACATTGAATGGTATCACTAGGCTTAAAACTAAATCCTACTAACCTACAATTCATCAAAATCATAAAGTGTTATCAGTTAACAAATTTTTAAGTTTATTTTTAAATTTGGAAATGTTATCAATATTCCTCACCTGAGCTGGGAGTTTGTCCAAAAACCTTTTCCCTGCACAGGTGTTTTTTTGTTAAAGAGCTCCAAATCATGGACACTGACAGCAATTTCATTTCTGTTCCGGGTAAAATAATTATGACTATCACCAAGTCTTGGGACCAAATTAGCATTAGGTAGTTTTTTTTGTGTGTAAAATTGTTTGAAAAACATAAATACTATACACAGTCATTATTCCCATTTTTGAAAAATATTGACGAGCAGAAGTACCTATCTCATTCTAAATTTAACATAATTCTGATTGCTCTTTTTTGAAGAGTTCGGTAAGAATTCTATCTAAATTTTGCTTAGAGATCCAGCCATAAATAGGCTACTTATGCCAAATGATATTGATGATTCGATAAAAGCAAAATAAAGAATCTTTAATGTTTCTACTGAGCAGAATTTTGACATTCTATTAATAGTATGGATACCAGAAGTCATGTTGCTGAATACCTGGTCAACATGCTTGAATTCCTTGAAAGATTTTGGTCTACAATTAATCCCTAAAAACTTTGTTGCAACGATTTCTTCCAATTTATTATTTTGAAATTTAATCACAGACCGTTCAATTTGTTTTCTTCCTGTTGTAAAAACCATAAAATTACTTTTGAAAGTTTTTCCTTCGAAACCATCATGACAATCCATATAAACCGAATTAAAAAATTTGTAATTAGTTTTAATTGTACAATCATTATTGAATTGGGATTTATTTACTTAAAAACTCTCTTGATATCAGTCTGTCAAAATAAACTTGGTAAGTTTGGCTAAGATATTTTTAACCACAAAATTTGCATAAGACCCGATCTCAATTAAATAAAAAATCCTTCTAACACAATCTATTCTTGTTTGTTTCAGTGATAAGCAATGGCATCGACGGCTGAGTCGTTGAATGTGGATTTTGATCATTCATGGCAAGACAACACAGAATGCTTGACTCTAGATTTTGGACCATTCGAAACGGTTCACAGATGGAAGCGTATGCCCGAGTGTGATGAGTTTGTTGGAGCTAGGTAAAAAGTTTTGGTTACATTCAATTTAAATTACTTAAACAGTAATTACTTAAATTACTTTTACCAAACCATTCACAAATCGTTAATTTTGAATTATTGATTTATTTGCTTCGAGTAATGCATTATTCCTCAAAGTGGCTCAAAGAAATAATTATTACATTGTCCTTCTATGGACACCAGCTGTGACCGATTTAAGAGTATTTACCTCAAAAAACAGAATAGGCCTATTAAAAAATGTCAAAACATGTTTCCTAGTCCCAATATCATGTAACTTTGTCAGTAAATTAAAAGGATTTTCATTTTGTTTCATTTTTAGTCTACATAAAATATATATATTTTTTTAATTCTAAGTATTTGTTTTAAGCTTTACAGACAATTTAGAAATCGTTTTGAACATTTTAAGATGACAAGGAGCTGCTATAACTCTTTCAATAAATAATAAACAAACAGCCCATGGAAAAGATTCAGTCACTAACGTTGGCAGAAACAGCTCAATTCTAAACCACGTTTCGACTTGAAAGCGTGGCAGTAAGCGGTCTATTGTCTACTACTAAGCCAATTATTGTTTACTTCTTGTACTCGACATTGCACATACATGTTCAATGTCCACATACATGTACATGCATGCAGCTTCTATCAATTATCAATTGGCTCGTGTGTGTAGATTGTTTTTGTTTCAACCTAATATTAGTACATTAAAAAGTATCCAATACGTATTAAAAATAAATTTTCTTTTATCATTCGTCATGTTTTTATGGTACAAAATCTAAACTATATAGTAATTAATTGTTTAATCAAGTATTTTCTAAATTTTCTTGATAAAAATATTGTAGTGATTCATACACAAGTTAGGTTAGTTAGTGGCTCAGTCTGTCGTGCCGCAGACGCAGGGGCGGACTGGCCCGCCGGCCCACCGGCCAGTGGGCCGATGCGCCTTCTCAACATTCCAATATTTGCGCCCTCGTTAAAGGAAAAATTCATAAAAAAATTTTAAAAAATGAGACGAGATGTATTTTTTAGAAAGCAAGAGGAAAAACTTAGAGTAAAAGTTTCAGCAGTGAATAGCAAAACATAAAGTCGGGTGTGAGACCTGAATAGACACTGTCGACAAGCGAGAGCAAAGCAGCTCTTCTCTCTCGTACGTGTAGGCCTACTCCGAGTGGAAGGCACTTACTTTACTCTGTGGTCTGAGCTACTTAAAAACAGCTGTCCTCTTCCCGCGTTATTTTACGCCCAACCCGAAAAAACTGCACTGCGACCACGAGTACTAGAAAAATACCGGTATGGATCATAAACATAAACAAATGACGTTTTTGGCCCGAAAATAAACATTATTTAACATTGCTTAAATGGAACTGCCAAATCATATGTTCAATGCTCAGTATAGGATTCGGGCCAACGACATCATTTGTTTATGTTTGTGATCCATACCGGTATTTTTCTAGTATTCGTGACTGCGACTGCATCAGACATCGGTCGGTGTCACGATGTCGTCTGGTCTGTGGTAAACAACTAGTAAAGATAATTTAATATTATTCATATTTGTTATAATATTTAATTATTGCTCACACTATAACTATTTCACTTTAAGTCACATTTAATTTTTATCAATATCAACTCAACTCTCTTGTAAAATGGCGTTTGCCGTGCATGTAATAAATAAATAAATAGTATGAGCTGCCAGTGCCAATTAAAATGTGACTCTCTTTAGTGAGTGTCTAATTTGTGTCTCTGTGTCGAAAGCTTCAATTTATTTTTATATTCTTTACCTACACAGGAAACATGAACGAAAGCAGTATTGTAGAATCACTACTTTTAGAAAATTTAAATAGATTTAGTGACAGTGTATTTGTTAACTTAACCATTACACAGTAAAGGTTAAACAGTAAACAGTATTTTAATATGTGGCTACAGCCTATTAATTAATTATTTCAATATGCACTATGGCACTAATTTTACCTTCTACCCAGTCTAAAATACCTTCGTAGTTCTCTCTAGGCTATTTCGTTTGTAGAAATAGGTTAGGTAGGCCTACTTTAGGGTTACAGTTTTGACTTAATGTAATGCTAAAAAGTTGGTTTTGTTCACAGTGAAAGCGTATTGTTTGTGTTACAATAATTTCATAGAAATCTAAAATATATAACTTCTGCTATTTACAGTGCCAAAAAATACAACAGTTGCAAGTTCAGGCTGTAAACAGGAAGCAAATGATTATTTATATTGTATGCATGCAGCCAAGCCATGCAAGGGAAAACAAAGAAAATACACAAATAATATAATACGAAAGAACCTAAGAAAATCATTTGTATTTTTATTTTTGTTAGGATATTTACTGTCAGAATAGCACCAAGTCGTGTGGGTAAATAGTCTAAATTTGGTAAACCAAACATTAATCAATAGTGTCAGTTATCAGATTTCTGATTTTCCACTGTTAATGCCTCTAGATTGCCTAAAAATGTGAGTTTACAGGTATAATTTTTAAAAAATGTTCCATACCCCCCAGACCCCCCGGTTGGCGCCTTCGGGCTGGTCAAGGTTTACGCCCTAATAGAGTACCCAGTCCGCCCCTGCGCAGACGTGGGGCCTATCATGTATGCCTATTTCTTTTATAGGCTACATGATTGTATATTTCCTTTACATACCTTACATTATCACCTTGAACATGGTAAGTAAAATAATTACAAGTGCATCTTGTGATGGTTCAACATATAAGGATTTATTCTGTTAGTTACATTAGTTACTATAGTAGTAGTGGTGACCACAGCCTCATGAATATAGTAAACACCAAGATCTATACAACTGACATATTTAACATGATACATTACAGGGCCCAAAGCTGCAATGTTGTAGGTTCAGATCCTGGTACTTACCACTACTTTTTATCATTAGTTCACGTTATACTGTTGATTTGCTGTATACGTTACATACACAGGTCCATAGCCTATTTGGACGGGCAAATGCAAGGTTAAAAGAGGCCACCGACCTCTTAAAATAACAAGCATTTTTTTAATTTGCAATTTGAACTATATATATCAGTAATACAAATAAAGGCTACAGATATTATAAACACACTTGGCCACAATTGTTTTGTGAGGCCGAATAAGTCTTGACTATCAAGACAAGAAAGGATCTGAATAGTAAGAGCTGTGATTTGATTTCGGAGAAGTGTGGTTCGGTGTCCAAGGACACTTGTTGGTCAGGTGTGGACAATGTTTTCAGAATGCTGTGCATAAATACCCGGTGCTACACGCCCATATACTCAACCTTCCCCCAAAGGCCAAACTCCTAAAACGCTACTAGGCAGCAGTTGATAAACCTTAATTCTGTAGTTGAAAGTCATCAAGTTCATGTTCCTTCCAATCTCCTGGCTGTGATTTAATTGGCCCTTTTCAGGAACTCTTTAGAGATTTAAGTTTGGATCCAAGATTTGTCTTTATCATTAGGCATACAAAGATGATGCTTGGAAATTTTCAGTTATTAAATCTAAATATATACGTATATACAGATATATGCATTTTCAGATAGGCTATACCTTCAAATTTGATTTTTCTTCCTTTTAGTATGAGGATTCATTTCCCAAAGTCCTGAATAGTTTTTTATGGACACCCTGTATATCTGTGATATGCAAGACACCTTCTTAACTATCCTTAGGATAACTTTCATAAACACATGGGAGCTTAGCTTTAACAAAATCCTGGTCTATATTTATGTTAGACAGGAGTTGGTTAACTGTTGAGTAAGACGGCAATGTTGGCAAAGAACTGACCTTTTACTATTCAAATGAAATTAATTAATAATAGTGATACACTAACTCGCTTTGAGAATGGCTAGTAGAAAATGTCCTGAAGGCAGCTCAAACTCTGACTACTGTATAATATCCCCCAAATGAATTTACTCTCATAAACAGTATTAACAATTAATAATCTGATCCAATTAAAATTACCTTCATTAAAATCTAAGAACCCAACAATCCCCCCTTCAACTCTAAACTCCTATAACAAAATTTCCCCTTGCCAACTTGCTGCAAAGGACTATCCTTAAGACAAAGTAACCAGTACTCACCCAACACACCTCTAGGCACCCTGCCCCGGCCGACTGACCCCTTTCCCTACCTCAGGTGGTCTACTTATTGAGCTTGACAGCCTAGTCAAAGTCAAAGTCAAAAGCCTACTGAGTGCAAAGGCCTCAATGTTTACATAAACAACTCCAGTTCGCTTCCCAGCTTGCAAGACCTGAGCACAGGTCATCAGCCCAGCTTGCAAGACCTGACCACAGGTCATCAGCCCAGCTTGCAAGACCTGACCACAGGTCATCAGCCCAGCTTACTAGACCTGACCACAGGTCATCAGCCCAGCTTGCAAGACCTGACCACAGGTCATCAGCCCAGCTTACAAGACCTGACCACAGGTCATCAGCCCAGCTTACGAGACCTGACCACAGGTCATCAGCCCAGCTTGCAAGACCTGACCACAGGTCATCAGCCCAGCTTGCAAGACCTGACCACAGGTCATCAGCCCAGCCTGCAAGACCTGACCACAGGTCATCAACCCAGCTTGCAAGACCTGACCACAGGTCATCAGCCCAGCTTGCAAGACCTGACCACAGGTCATCAGCCCAGCTTGCAAGACCTGACCACAGGTCATCAGCCCAGCTTGCAAGACCTGACCACAGGTCATCAGTCCAGCTTGCAAGACCTGACCACAGGTCATCAGCCCAGCTTGCAAGACCTGACCACAGGTCATCAGTCCAGCTTGCAAGACCTGACCACAGGTCATCAGCCCAGCTTGCAAGACCTGACCACAGGTCATCAGCCCAGCTTGCAAGACCTGACCACAGGTCATCAGCCCAGCTTACTAGACCTGACCACAGGTCATCAGCCCAGCTTGCAAGACCTGACCACAGGTCATCAGCCCAGCTTACAAGACCTGACCACAGGTCATCAGCCCAGCTTACGAGACCTGACCACAGGTCATCAGCCCAGCCTGCAAGACCTGACCACAGGTCATCAACCCAGCTTGCAAGACCTGACCACAGGTCATCAGCCCAGCTTGCAAGACCTGACCACAGGTCATCAGCCCAGCTTGCAAGACCTGACCACAGGTCATCAGCCCAGCTTGCAAGACCTGGCCACAGGTCATCAGTCCAGCTTGCAAGACCTGACCACAGGTCATCAGCCCAGCTTGCAAGACCTGACCACAGGTCATCAGTCCAGCTTGCAAGACCTGACCACAGGTCATCAGCCCAGCTTGCAAGACCTGACCACAGGTCATCAGCCCAGCTTTCCTACCCTCCGTTAGAAATGTGTCTATAAAACTGAATTTTTTGAGGGTGGACAGTGTTTGAATTAAAAGTCAAATTAAATTTTAAATTAAAGTCAGAAGAATAAAAAGCCAATATAATGCATGTAGGCCTACATCCAATCATTCCTCTAAAATACTATAAATCATTACTTAAATTAAATTATATATGATTAAATCTCATTATAAAATATATAAAAAACAGACTAAAATAATAAACAATTTTAGAATCAACCGTAGTTAAAACATTTTCAACCTCTACTACTGTTAAGTAAAGTTAACTTAAGAATAGGTACAGTTAAGTTAAGTTAAGAATACATTTTATTTGAGCAAGTGATTTAGCAGGTCAAAGTGTAATGTCTGATCAAAATCTTATTTAAGAGTAAGTAAATTACTAAGTAAAAGTCAATCCAGTGATCCACAGTGGACAAATAGAATTTTTCCTCATCACAATTCCTAGAGGGTTGTGGTAGACCTTTCTTTACACTATCATAGATTTTAATGACCAATCAAGAGAGCAAAATCACAATTTAGAAAACACCCAATTGACCACCAAGCTGATAAAAGGTGCTTACCTCTTTAGAATCATATTTTACTACAGTGTTTCTTGTTAGTCAACATTTGACTTGTTGAATATATCTAGCATTGAACATTGAACATAAAAATGTAGTGTTAAAAATAAGCATTGTGGCTGACTGCTTGCTACAAGCTGTTTCTAGTTTCTAGCAATGCAATCGAGAATTCTTACAAAGCATTTTAATTTGTCTCTGCGTACTCTAGATATTATTCCTATTAGAGTTGACTGTGAGAAGGTCTGATATACCAATTGTAAATTGGGGTAGTCCTTTGATGAGTGATTTGTCACTAAGCCCTAATTTATTTCTTATACAGACGAAGCAAGCATACGGTAGTAGCATACAAGGAAGCAATCTACGTGTTTGGTGGAGATAATGGGAAAACCATGTTGAATGACTTACTGCGTTTTGACGTCAAAGAGAAATCTTGGGGCCGAGCGTTTGCTACCGGAGCACCTCCTGCACCCCGTTATCATCACTCAGCAGTTGTAAGTATTCTGTTATTGGATGGTCGTGTTGTTGTGTAGTAGACGGACAAGGCTACCGTAGTTAACTTTTGTATACTGAAGTAGATATCCCATCTATATGGACCAGCTGTAGCCAATTTTCTATTTGAAAAGAACATTAATAAGGTATCTATTCAGTCGTTCAGCAAATTTCAAATTAGCAATGGACATCATCAAAAGAAATAACATTGATTACTCGGATCTCGATTATGTATACAAACAATATGCATTGAGTGGACCAATATGTTTACAAAGGCTTGTTATTATTTTATAGTAAATATGCCTAATGTACTTAAATTTTTGGTCCTGGGTTCTAATCCCACCAAATCACCAATGGATTTTATCTGAGTGATAATGCCGTAACCCCTAGGTCTAGCCTGAAGTAATGTGAAAAGCAATTCTGGGCTTGTGCCTAGCGTCCTAAGATTTTTAAAAAAATACTTAAATCTACTATTTTAATGATTAACTGTATTACATAATTCAACACACTGATATCTGTTATTAAGGTATGAAGTGATCCAGTTTAATTCTTTGCTTTGAATATGCAACATCTTAAGCTGATTGAGTATCATGTGATACACTATCAAACGCTTTGGGGAGATCGAGTAGTATTCCAATTACATGGTCTTTTCGATCTACACTGTCTATAATTGATTCAATAAAATTAATTCTTGCAGTAAAGCCTTGTTGTTCCTCATAGAATGGAAACAGGTTGTTATTTCAAAAAAAGAATATAGGCCCTACAGTTGCTCTTTCAAGAGCTTTTAAAAAAACCTTTCCCAATACAGGAATACATGAAATAGGCTGATAACTGCTAAGTTCCTCAAGCGAGCCCTTTTTAATAATTGGAACAACTAGAGAGAGCTTGAGACAAGATGGAAAAGTATCCTCCATGGTACATTGGTTGAGACAGAAAGTCAAAGAAGTCAAAATAACCTCAGATATGTGTTTTAGCATATTACTAGATAAACCAATAGACATCTTTGGTGTAGGACCTATTTAAAGATGCTATAACCTGGCTCCCTTCTTGGCACATCACTTTGGAAAAAAATACATTTTGGATTTTCAACACCAACATTCTCAAAAAACTGCAAGGAGTCTCCACTGATGATTTCACATTAGCACAGACCTCTTCAACCGATGCCAAAAAGAAATCATTGAAGTCGTTGGGAACCCGGCTTGCCTTAGTGTGTCTTGCCTGCTGCCTTGCCTTTTTTGGGGGTGTTCATAATATTTTTCATTTGTCAACTTTTTGCTTGTGTAAGTGATTTGCATTATTAGCAACAAACTATCATCAGTGTGTCAAGTGTCTGAACACAGATGTTCCAAAGATTATAGTTTTTCAGCCATTCCAGCTCAGGAGTGTACCACTTTTTTTATGGCATTTCAACCTGCTCACTTTTAATTTAAACTAGAGGAAAGGTTACGTTATATAAACACAACAGTAGTTCTTCAAAATAAAAGTCTGCCCACTTTCTTTATATTGTCATAAAATTCCCAGGTCTCATTTTAAAACAGATATTTAAAATACAAAATATTATTTGCTGAAATTTTTCTCTTCGTCCCAATTAACGACTTTACAGTACCACTATTTAAAACCACGTCCTAATTAAGGATTTTATAGTACCACCGTTGAAAACCATGTCCTAGTTGAGGGTTTTACAGTACCACTATTATACAAGTGCTACAAAATACTATTCAATTAGCTTCCTTAGTTTTTTGTTACTGTAATGGGCATTCAAGTAACTATAGCTTACAATACACTGTTTTTGATTGATTGATTGATTTACTTTCTCCCCCTATACATAGTATATGGAGAAAGTATTGTTTTCATCAACATTTTTGAGTTTTTGTGGATGTATCCGTTTGGGTTCCACTGTACCCAAAAAAGAGGGTTTTCGAAGTGATGTCTCTTTGTGTATGTCTGTATGTGTGGATGTGTACAAAGCTACAGACCACCTGTGGTTTGATTTTGATTAAATTTGGTATGTAGGTACTAATCCATGGTATCTCCAGCCCTTTTTTTTATTTTTTTGAAATTTTGATTTGTAATGGTGATTTTCCCATAAAAACCCATAAAATAACGGAAAAATTGGATTTTCTCAAAAATGGCCCAAACAATTTTGATAAAGATTAATATGTTGTAGCCCTTTAAATTCTGAACAAAATGATATAAGTTAACTCCCATTACTGTACAAATTATGGTTCAAAAGTTATTCAAGGTGTATACCAACCGGGAAAACCGGGAGAACCGGATAATAACCTTGAATTTGAAGGGACATGGGAAAAGCCGGGATTTTTGGACCGAATCCGGGATTTTTATTTTAGCCCCGGTAGAAGATTGTAGTCATAAAATGCGTCTTGCCGCGGTTGCGGGCGACGACGATGACGTTTTCGTGACCACGGGAGACGACGATGACGTTTCCGTGACCGCGGGAGACGACGATGATGTTTACATGGCTGCGGTAAATATTCATGATTTTACCGCGATCGAGTACTTCGACGATTACGTTTCCCTAACCGCTGGAGTCAATGATGATGTCTACACGGCCGTGGAAGATTTTCATGATTTGCCGTGACCGCGAAAGGAGACGATGATGATTTCTACACGGCCGCGTGAAATACTCATGATTTTGCCGCGATTGCGACCTACGACGATGACGTTTCCGTGACCGCGGGAGACGACGATGACGTTTCCGTGACCGCGGGAGACGACGATGATGTAGACACGGCCGCGGGAAATATTCATGATTTTACCGAGATCGCGGACAATGACGACGATGACATTTCCGTGACTGCGGGAGGCTAGATGATGTCCACACGGCCGCAGAAGATATTCGTGATTTGCCGTGACCGCGAAAGACGACGATGATTTTGTCTACACGGCCGCAGACGTTCATGATTTAGCCGCGATCGCAGACAACGACGATGACGTTTACGTGACCGCAGGGATCAACGATGATGTTTACACTGCCGCAGGAAACATTCATGATTTTGCCGAGATCGCGCACGACAACGATGACGTTCCCGTGACCGTGGGAGTCAATGATGGTGTCTACACGGCCTCGGAACATTTTCGTTATTTTGCCGTGATTGGAGTCAATGACGATGACGTTTACGTGACCGTGGGAGTCAATGATGATGTCCACACGGCCGTGGAAGATTTTTGTGATTTTGCCGCGATCGTGGATGACGATGATTACGTTTTCGTGATCGCGAGAGATGGCGATAATGTATACATACCGCGGGAGATGTCCAGGATTTTTCTATGGTAACGTAAGACTGTGATGACGTTTACGTCACCATGGGAAGCGACCACATGACCGCAGGAAATATTCAGGATTTAGCCGCCGTTGATAATGTGTTCATAAAAAATGAAGATAATATTCATGATTTTGCTGCTATCGAGAGAGACGATGTTTCCGTAGACTTAAGTAATGATGATAATGAGAATTATTACCATAATATGGATTATTACTTTTTCAACACTAGCTCACTGGACTTTGAAACAAATTTAATGTAAGTTTATATTGTATACTTAGGCTGCAAGTCTTAAATTGATTATAGTTTAAGTGGAACCAAACAAATACGCGGGAACCTGGAAAAACTTGGAAAACCAGGAAAAAACCTGGAAAAAACCTGGAATTTTACTTTAATAAAATAGTATACACCCTGTTATTGTAAAATATGCTATTTTCTCATAAAAACCCCATAAAATGAGAGAAAATCGTATTTTTGAAAAAAACCGATTTTGATTGATATTGGTGTGCTGGTCCTTATAACTCTCCCATAAATAAAAAAAAAAAATGGATTTTTGAAAAAAAAAACTATGGTGTATGGTGCTTATAATTAATAACAAACAAAATAGTGCAACCCCCCCCCCCATTCCTGTAAAAATTATGGTTCAAAAGTTAATAACAATTTTGTGATTTTACCAATTCATCATAGTTACTCTCCTCGCTTACCCATGATAAAGGTTGTTGACAAGCTAATGGGAGAAAGTATGTGTCAGATTGCTTATACCGTTTATTTCAGGTTGGTGTATTCGACATTATCATTTACATCTGCAGACTCTGTGTTTTAATTCAGCAACGTTAACTGGCAACAACTTAAACTTCAAAATGGAATGTCCAGTTCTATCCTTGGTATAACTTATACTGTGTAGTATACAATTTTGTAATAAATGTTCGATATTAGATACGTTGATAGTGTTGTAGGTACCGGTACACAGTTTCAAGTTTTATCAAAGGTGCCATTTAAAATCAAAATTGTAAATATGTCGGCAAGTGTATTTTTTTTTCAATTTGTTTATTTGTTGGATTATAACAAATTTATTTGTTAAAAATTATATGCTTGAATTTCAATAAAATTTGACTCAGTTCAAGAAATTAATGGAACATTTTTTTTGGACAGTAGAATCTTGGGAGGGAGAATGATCCATTCTTAACAAAGTACAGTAAGTAATTGTTTTAACTATAGCAAATAAAGTTTGTTTTTATTTTACAGGTTTTTGACTCGTCAATGTTTGTTTTTGGAGGTTATACTGGTGATATACATTCAAACTCAAATCTTACAAACAAAAATGACTTGTTTGAGTATAAATTTCAAACAGGTCAATGGATTGAGTGGAAGTTTGTTGGAAGGTAAGTTTTAGCTAAGGTTCCATATCGGTATAACTGTATTAGCAAATTTTCCATTTAGATAACATTAGTGAATTTGCCTGCCATGTTGGTAACATTAGCAAATTTGTCATGTAGGGAATTTTAAGCTATTTCCACCATGGTAAGACCTGGACCTGGAACCGATTTACTTTTTTGTTTTTATATACTCAAAGGCCAAAAACACCATTTCTTCAATATATACAAGGCATGTTTTTTAATCAAGTGCCGTTTTTAAATTTCTTCGTTCCAGCGCTGCAATTGGCATTTTGGAAATTTGCGCTAAGATGTACGTGCATCTATTGGCAAGCCTGCTCCAGAAATTTGGCAACAATTGACCGTGTTGCACAAAACCAAGCGTCTAGGCAGTGCATTGACTTTTCTTGAGCGCTACGTGGAGAAAGGTGATTATTTGTTAGGTCAAATTGTTACAGGCGATGAAACATGGTTGTCTTACATGAACCAGAGTCAACATCTTGGTGGGCAGCACCTAGACAACGATGATGAGGTCAACACAACAGTGATACAATGGTTATCCAGTCAGGCGGCAGAACTCTTTGAGAAAGGAATGCAAAAGCTTGTGGGACGATTTGATAAATATTGATGGAAACTATGTTAAAAAAAGTAGATTAAGATACTGGCTTTCAAATAAAAATATGATTAATACAATAAGTATACTGGGTTTTGTTTTATTTTAAAAACGTACTTACTTAAAAAACATGCCTCGTGTGTATATATATACCGGGTGTCCCATAATAGTCCCCCCCCCCCCCCAAAGCTGTGTATCGACAATGTGTATCGAAGCTTGTTGAATATATGCAGCCGTTATAAAATTACCAGGGGGGGACTACTATGGGACACCCGGTGTCATTTGACACGATAACTCGAGTAAAAATCACCTGATTTTGATCAAATTTGGTACAAATGTGTAAGTCTACGTTATATTTAACTACTCTGCAGGCCACATTTCAGCCCGTTCTATAATGTTTTGGGGTTCAAAAGCTGAAATAATGTAACCACTAATTATATGATGGTACCAGATCTTGGCCAAAATCGGTTCTTGGTTCTTATTTGAATAAACTGTAGCTGTAAATATTGGCACTTTTGAATACTCATTATTGTTAAGATAAGTTGGTTGTATGCAGTTAGCCAGCTAATTTAATGATTTAGGGTCGTGTTTGAGGTTTTAATTTAAGAATTTAAAGCAAGTTATTTCAAAGTGGAACATATTCTGCGAGAACTGGTTCTATAGTCAGAGTATTTTGGCTGTTTCTGTTTTATTACCAAATCAAGACAATGAAGAATTTTGTGACATATTGTTTGCTGGTATTGTATTTTCTAATTGTATATTAAACCTACTTATTACCATCCAGAATGCCAAGTCGTTAGGGATGGTAGTAATTGTACGAGAATTTTGATGACTGGAAAAAAGTTGGTGGTTGTTAAGTAATTTTTGTGTACTTACAGGAAACTTTAATTTTTGAATAATCTCTGCTAATAGCTAGATAGTGCCCATCTAAAACGGTGTTCCATTGGTTCTCTTTCACATTGAATGCGGCAATCGTCAACATATACCGCAATGATTACGTTGTGACAGCAACTGTTGGTCATGCATGTTGTCGCGGTCACACTTCTAATGTTTCAGCATTTCCAAGTTTCTGCATAGACAGACACATCAATAAAACAAGCAAATAAACAACAATAAAAGTATTTTGACACCCATGGAAGGCTTAGCATAGGCCTATTAATGTTGACAGCTGACAACGCCTCAGTTGCCGCTCTTGGTTGCTGTGCTCGCATTTCATAGTAGTCCTTTAGTAAATAGTTATGACTAAAAAAACAGCTGATCTGCAGTCAGTAACAAAAGTACAAAAGGCATCTATCTATCTCACTCCCTCCATAATTATCTTTTAGGCGTATTTGGTAGGGATGGACGATATTGAATTTTTAGTTCGGTACAGGACGGGACGGGATTTTTTCCTGAGTATTGCAGTTACAAAAAAATACAAACAAAATCAATTTTTACCGTTTGTGGCAGTAATCTGTAAAAACCGAAAAATGGGTAAAAATTTACAGGTATAGAAACTTGTGTCTCGCGGTCACGGCGTGATCATCGGTATGACTTGCGGTCACGGCGTGATCGTCGGTGTGACTCTGCGGTCCCGGCGCGATCGTCGGTGTGACTCTGCGGTTTTGGCGGTATGACGATCGCGCCATGGATTATCGTGGATACAGTCATTCACTCGATACTGCAGTGTGTAGTCTGTGTTGGTAGGCCTACTGACATTACGGGTACATTTCCTTCCGAGAGTTGCCCTTAGTTACTCACACATCACTAACTGTAATACAGTCAAGTTATCTGGATTATAAGTTTTGGGATCAGAGAAATCTTTTCAAGCTATTCATTGTATTTAGAACCATCCTAAGATGTCAATAACAGATCTAGAACTTGTACCAAGAAACAATATGAGTATAATAGGCAAAGACTCCCGAACCCCTAGACTGAGCTAGGACGAGACACAGGTACGTCAACAAGGCTCGGCGTCGTCTGTCTCCAGTGTGTATAGTTATCCTAAATATTAAACTCACTTAATTTGTTTTATTGATTAATCTTGTGGGTTTCACTCACCTTAATTTTATAATCCAGGACTCGTTAAATGTACACACTACGAAGACACAGTTACACACATATACACGCACATAAAAAATCGTCCTTGGATTTACTCCTTAAACGTCGGAGTAAATCCAAGGACTATTTTTATGTGTGTGTATGTCTGTGTAACTGCGTCTTTGTAGTGTATACATTTAACGAGTCCTGGATTAAAAAAATTAAGGTGAGTGAAGCCCACAAGATTAATCAATATAATAAACCTCGCCTAAAACATGTCATGCAAAAATAGGATTAATTAGTTTTTCCTACAGCCAACCAAAAAAGTGGGCTTCCTTGCACAGATTATAGTACAGAAAGCCTTACGAGGACGCACAGTTTTTACTTAAGCGCACACCAGTATTCCAACCAAACAACACAAAACAGCTTGCTTTTATTATGCACATAATCCGTGTACGCTTGAAAATAATTCGGCAACACTTCAAGATATTACGACTACGATCGGCTGGTGCAGTGTTTCCTATTTGGTTCAATGTTTGGATTTAACCTAACCTAAAAACGTGTTGTACAGTGTTTGAAAGACTAATTAGTAATTATATATATGATTTATTTATAGTAACTGTAAGAAAAATATAATGTGTAACACGAGTGCATACTGCCTTTGCTGCACTCGAGAAAAAATGCCACTTCGCCCACTAGTTACACAGATAACTATTGTACACCACACCCATATCCAAAATCCTAAAAGTTTTAAACCCAGTGTTCCATGATTAATACCAAATCTAACAACTAAAACTGTTTGTAACAGAACCCCGGTCCCCCGGTCTGCTCACGGTGCAGCAGTGTACAACAACAAGTTGTGGATATTTGCTGGATATGACGGGAATGCAAGATTGAACGACATGTGGACTATATCCCTGCAGCCTGTGAGTACTTGTCATAAATTAAATATTTGAGGTCTATTAGTCTTAAACTAACTTACTGATCGGTCCCTTGTCAATTAGTTGAAACTCTTGAATCGATTCTGTTACCTAGATGTCTGCAAAAATATCTTAAATATGGCTTTCTCAATATTTCAAGCTGCTAAATGTGTATATCATATATAAGTTAATCATATCACAAGAGTAAAACCATTTTTCCCCGTATATGCTACTGGAATGGTTATTTGTATAACTAGTGCACGAAGTGGCACTTTGCTGCTCATGAAAGAATGTCACAAACAACTATAAGGTACATTTTACTTCTTCATTGAAAAATTTTTAATATGGAGTGCAACAAGGACCAATCCTGGGACCACTGTTGTTCATATGTTATACAAAGGGTTTACCAGATGTATTAGATGATGCTGAAGTCTGTCAATATGCTGATAACATTAGCTTACTTGTATCTGGTAATACCCATCAAAAAGTAGAGTCAATACCAAATAACCAATTTCCTAAAAAAAATGTAAACCTTTTAGTAAATATAAATAAGACAAATTGCATATCTTTCTCCACATATCAGAGTAATAAACAAGTTCAACACAGAATTTTAATGGAAGGAAAATGTGTAGAAGAACTGCAAAATTTTGAATTACTAGGACTTTTATTGGACAAAAATTTTAATTGGAACCTTCATATTGAACATCTTGGCCGCAACATTTCATTATTGATGTTTTCTCTGAGAAAAATGTCAAAATTATGTCCTATAAAACATTTTAAATAATTTACTTGGCTTTTATTCACTCCCAACTTTCTCTTTTGGCATTACCTTATATGGAGCAACCTCTAAAAAAATAAATAGGAACAAATATTATCATTTCAAAAACAAGAACTTCACATCATGTTAAACATTCAAGATTGGAGAGCTTCAGTTAAAGAACAGTTAACTTGGTATTCTTGCTGTTTTTGTCCAATATATCTTTGATTTGATATTGTTTTTAAAGAATAATTTACCTAAATTCGAGACCTTGGGTTCATGCCACAGCTATGGGACAAGACACAGACATAAAATCTGTTTTTCAAATAAAAAAACCTTCATATGCCGGGATTAAGTTTTATAACCTGCCTGATTACTCTTTTACAAATAACAGACAAAAATAAATTTAAAAATCAACTAAAATTGTATGTTATCCAAGCCCGTCTATTCCCTAGATGAATTTTTTTGTTGACTGTGTTGTAAATTTGTAGGCTATGTTATCTGTTTTTTGTATTTTTATTTAGCCTTTTTATACATGGTTAGTTTTAACAGTTTCATTTAAGTAATGCCATTCTGGTGCAACATGTACTCTTGAATAAAGATTATATGACTAGAGAGAGAGAGAGAGAGATAGAGAAATTATTTATTAACAACGATTTGTTTGCAGCAATACATTTATCAAATAAAAATATCTCGTGATTCTCATGGTTCACTGTACAGAGTGACCTGTGCGTGATAGAGGCTATGACTATTTCCCAACACTGCATGGAAATGATCACATTGCCACAGCTGGTATTTTTATTTTGTTAGCATATGATTGTGATTGGTATATATGTGTGTGTGTGTGTGTGTGTCCGTTAGCACGATAACTCGAGCTAAAATCATCAGATTTTGATGAAATTTGATACAATCATGTAAACCTACGTTTATTCAAACAAGTTCGGGAACCAGAATGATCGGACCATGGCAACAGGGTTTTAAGGGTTAAAAATGGGGTTTTATAATTTTTGACCCTCAATACATAAAACTTCTCAATTTTTCTCTAAACCATTTTAAAGAGTTAAAAAAATAAACAAATAATTTAGTATATTGAAGTGATTTTGTTAGGTTTTGTCTTTTAAGCCCTTTTTTATACTAGGCCTATATTTGTACAAAAGAACAATTGATTAGCATTACTGCAGTCATAAAAAATGTTGTTTTTACTATCAAGAATGATTATACTTGTAGACAAATTAATATTTTGTTTGAGAAATCAGCTGTTTTGTAAAATAGCTCAATTGAACAAAATGCCACTTTATATTACAACTGTAGTCGTAGTTTAATAAGTAAATACGGTTGTTCACATTACATTTACATTACATATTCTTTATTGTTCATTCGTTAAGAATTACAATAGTGTCAATACAATAGTGAATTGTACGTGTTAATTTCCATAATTTTCATAAAATTCCTTTATTGAGTAGAAGGGTCTTGCGATTAGCCACTTCTTCAACTCCTGGTGTAGCTTGTTGCCAGTCAGGTCTCTCAGGTAGTCAGGTAGATGGTTCCTCAGTTTGCAGCCGGTGTAGGAAGGTTTTTTCTCCCAAAGATTTGTGAATTGTTCATTTAACTGTGAAATCAATAAAGCTATCGACTCACTGAACAAGTCTGATCACTTAAATGTGTAATTCATTGGTCAAATAAGATTCGGAGTAGGGAAAATTGAGTGTAATTTAAATGTGTCTATGGTGCCATCAGACGTTAACAGGGCTCCAAGTACATTCAAACTTTTAGCTTAGGATTCAGCTACAAATTACTATACTTAACCACAGTTATTCGATAATTTTTCTAGTAATATTTAGCTTGCAAAATAGAAGCATGATTAAGGAAATCTAAACTTATTTTAGTTTATAACAACATTAAATGTTTTCTCTCATAAGTACCGTCTCTGAGCGACTGCTCCAGTTGCTCCTCTATTGCTACGCCACTGGGAGTGTGTCAAACTATTAAGTGTCAACTTAAGTGTGTCTATAGTCAATCCCAGTACTCAATTCAATTCATCATTTAGGGAGACCAGAAGCAATGGGAAGAGATTGCTCAAGCCGGCGACTGTCCACCTACATGTTGCAATTTCCCTGTAGCAGTCGCTCGTGAGTCCATGTTTGTCTTCAGTGGGCAGAGTGGAGCAAAGATTACTAATAGTCTCTTTCAATTCCACTTTGAGGACTTGAGGTAACCTACTGATAAATAATTCTCATTTTTTATTGTTCATTGACACTAGTGGCATTTTAAACTTTTTTTTAGAACAGTTAACCCTGGTCTTGTTAATCCCAAAACCTAATCATTCTATTAAATTGTTGGCTTTACCAAACAATATATAAATTTTTTGTAACTGAAAAAGTAAACGGACAACCTATTTAATGTCAACCATGTTTTATCAAATGCTGCATCGAGATTATGCCAGTGTAGCTAATAATATGTTTTTTATTTATTTGTTAATTTGTACTGTTTTACTCATTCTTCACACATTGTAAATTATATTTCAAAAGTCGAGGTATGCAAGCGGCTTGATTTTTAAGCCCAGCCGAACCTAGCCTACAAACTCAAGAGATTAAACACTAAGTCAGAAAGTTAAGCTCGAGCCGAGCTTATACGACCGTGATCAAAGTTTGCGTTTGCAAAGATTGTGTGATAAAATTCCCGTTTTGCTGCTGTTGCGGAAATTGACAATGATTTTTCCGTAATCGAGGAGAAGATGATGATGTTTTTTAAGATCACAGTAGGTGTCCAGGATTTTTCCAAGATCGCAGAAGACGATGGTAATTTTTACTTGACGAGGGAGATGTTGAGTATTTTTCCGCCATCGCATAAGACAGTGATGATGTTCACACAACTGTCGGTGTAAACATCGGCCGAGGAAATCGTGATTTGAGCCGAAGAAGAGATATTCACTGTTTGACCGTCGACTCGCTCGCGAGAAGCCTCTTCTTTCACGAATACGATCTACACCATACTGCTACCTTATCCATTCAGGTTAGCAACGTTTTATTTTAGACTTTTCCTATGTTTGTTTTATTTTCGTTATAATATACGCACACTCGTCTGTCACTCTTTTTTGCCTATTCAAATTCGATTTAAATTTAATAACTTAGAATTCACCGATTTTAGGTTATACCCGCCAGTCTGCTGGTCAGTGAGTTTTGAAGTGGTGGCTATAGTTTGGTTTGATTTTTAGCTACGAAATTATTAGTAACCCATTTGTTCAACGAATAATTATAACGCCCGATTGGTAATAAACGCTAAATTCTCCGTTTAAATATATTAATTAAGTCTCCACGACTCTTTAGGGATTCTAATACCGTAATTTGTTGATTCAATCGCCGCACTCTTTTATTTTCTCAGAGCCTTTAACTAATTATTTTGAAGTGTAATACGAGTAGTCTATCGCATTGGCTAAGATAGAATACTTGTAGGCCCTACAGAGTCAGTATAAAAGTTAGGCAAAATTTACCAAAACTCTTTAACGAAGGTGACGATGATATAGCTCCGACTGAGCGTCTGCAGGATTTTCTGAGCGCTTCTAGAGTTCTGAGCCTTTGATTAAATTTAAATAATGAATTGATCAGTCAAAGCCGTGACAACTTTGTACCGACCCCTGGATTTTTCTCGGCTCCTTCTGAGCACTCTGGGGAAGAAACGTGAGTGTGGCTGGTTCTAGGGGTAGGCCTAGCCTGACTTTGTGAATACCAGTTCCCCCCCCTAGAATTTTACATCACACATCTGTGGGAGATGTTTGGGATTATGCCACAACTGCGGAAATTGATGATGATGTCTACATGATCTGGGAGATGTTCAGGGTTTCACAGCGATTGAGGAAAACGATGACGACGTCCGTGACCGCAGGAGGTAATCAAAATATTACTGCTGTCACGTATTATAGTCTAGATAACATTGTGATGAATACAAATATCACTAAATTTATGATTAAGTAGGGCCTAAAAACTTGAATATAGGCCTACTGTCATTTTTACCCGTAACCATATAATAATAATAAATCTTTATTGTCATTTGGTAATATAAAAATTACAATAGACAAGGTCACATTTGTTACATGTTTTGTTACATATGTTATATAAAATATTAAATAGGCTACATAAAATGTTAAAAGTTAAATGAATCTTAAAAGGATAAACCATCAGTAATAATAAAAACTTATAATGGGAAAAAACTATAACAAGAACAAAGAATCATCAAGACTGCTTGGCCTCACATTTAGGAGTTGAAAAATCTACATTCTGCAAAAACTCCTCGACTGAATAAAAAGCACGACTTGTAAACCAATCTGATAATTTTGACCTATACAAATGAATGCTTTCCTGATTTATAAAATATATTGGAAGTCCCATATATTGGAAGCCTTCCCATTAACACTAGTCACCAGCCCTAAACTCGTCTGCAAATTCAGCACACAACATCCAGCCAGGTGCTTGAGTTCGGCATGGGGATAACTCCATCTGCTGGGGCCACGGAAGTCTGGGGTTCACGGTTGCCCTCCTGTCATCACAGAGGTTTATTCCGCCCCACCTCTCTTCGTAAACGCTGGGGCTCGTCTGGTCTGTGGGGGTCTGTCATGCCTCTTGTTGCAGTTACCGCAGTTGCGAGACGTCTGGGCATCTGGTTTTGCACATAGATCCTTGTCGGTGCTGTCGTTAGGAAATGCGGCTCATTGCACGGACCCCTGTCACTACCCTTTCCACGGCAGTGATGACCACGTGATGACTTTCCATCTTAAGTCGTCATCCCCGCACTCGTCTGCATGTTCACATGTTGTCCAAGGGGAATCTAGATCAACACACAAATCCCTGCGTCGTCGTGGTACTCTGGGGAAATATGCTGCAAACGGTGCCGGGCCCGGAGGCTGAACTGACTTCCTGGTGCCAAACACCCTGGTCTTATTCCCATCGAATAGTACCTAGTTTTGGGGGGAGAGTACCTCATCCCTACCATCGGGGCATCTTTCCCCACTTTTTGTGCTTTTTTGTGTCTCCGAGTACTTTTGTACCTTTAACCTCCAAAATATTAAGGTGAGGGTTAAAATCACTTCATAAAAAATTATTCTTCCTTAAAAAATATTTGTAATATAAACCTTTCTATTTTTGAAAGATTTTCATTTTTTTCTTATTCAAAAACTTTTTCAAATTATTCTAATATCATTTATAATATTTGTCTTGAAATACTTTATTAAATAGTTTTAATGAGTTCAGTTAGCCTATTTATTGTTGGAATACTTGTATTTATTTTTAAATGCTATTTGTATTCTTAGTATATGATGACACTAAATTTCATAAAACATTAACACTTGAAAAAAATAAAATTTATTGATTGGTGAAATTTATTATGAACTTACTTCCTTTTTTATAATCATTTAATGTACTCAAACAATTATATTCAACTCAACATCACACAATAAAGTGGCATTTTGAATAGAAAGTTTGTGTAAAATTAACTTATTATTTGGCATTATGATGTAAAACTGATATAGAAAAACTCAGCTATATCATAAAATGCAGGCACACACCTCTATTAAATAAATACATAGGCCTAAATGAATAAAAATGCCTTTATTTCCAAGCATCTCTCGGTACAATTTAACTGTTTTACAGAGTAAATCAGGTCAAATACCAACTAAAAATACAATACTATTATAATAAGACATTGTGTTATAAAATACAAATATTAAATATTAACAGGTAAACTAGTTAGTTTAAAATCCTATCACTTATCACTTGTGAAGATTATATTTTTCCTTCTGTGAAAATTTAAACCACTTTGGGTGGATGCAAATTTTCCTGTTAGTAACAAAAATATGCGTACGACTAATAACATAAGTCTAGAGGGATAAAGAACTCATAAAAGTAAAAGTGTTGACCTCTCTTTTTACTTATACCGTATATATATAGTATACATAAATTTTTTTGTCCTTGGACGCCAGGCAGGAGCATTTTGATGTTAGTATAATTTTAAATATAAGAGTAAAACTAGAGAAGAAGCCAAAATAGTTACTTTGGTATGTGTTACTGTAACTGGCACTCATTACAAGAGTTAACAGTGCTGATAATTAGAGGTAACTGATCTTACTGCTGGGTGACCATATTTAGAATTTTTTTATGACTACATCTGTAATACTGATAACATTGAGAAAAAGTATCAGAGAAGAGAATTTATAAAGTTGCTCTTACCTACTATCTGAAACACATTACTGTATTGCCCTAGTAGCCTATATCATTAATTTGTTCTACCATACTCATTTTATACAATTTATTTAAAGTTTAAAAAGTGTAATGACAAGTTTGTTATTAACATCAAGAAAGTTCTCTTTTTTTTAGAGAAATTTCAGGTAATCTCAATTCATTTAGCAAGCATTATGCTTGTTATCAAAGATTTCGTGGTTGGTATATTAAGCAGGACTACCTAACTGAAAAAATATTGGAAAGTAAAAACACAAAGGAACATAGAAATTTTGAAACTACTAAGTTAGGTTAGAAAATGCAATGATCCAATTGTTTATTTATACTTTCAACTATTATTGTCAGTAAGGTAAGCCTGCTGTTCAAAAAATCCACCACAACATTCTTGAAAACTGGCATAAAGCCATCCTTAAAAAAAAGTTAGTTATTACACCTCTTTACGGTGTTTTCCTTGGTGTCATTTTGCATGAATTAATTTTAAACATGATTTAAAATACCCTTGTCGCAGGAAACCTGCAGACTTAGCAAATTTCCATTTTCCAAATAGGTTTTGACTAAAATACTTCCTTAAACATGTCACACTTATTCCCTATTTAAATAACATTAGATTTTCAGTCCATGCTTCTCATTTTTTTTGTTTATAGCCTGGGGGATGGAATTTGCTTCTATTTCACTCAAGTCAGAGACACTAACCACTAGACTAGCAACTCTTTAAGAATTTAATTTAAATTTCTCAAATTAAAATTATTAACAAATTATATTCAGATTCAGTGAGCTTAACTTTATAAGTGGCAGCCCTTGGTTATTCATTTGCCTTAAAATTTTTAGGTGGAGTCGTATATCGACGGAGCACATTCTACGAGGGACGCCACCACCTCCCACAAGACGCTATGGTCATACGATGGTCGGATTTGATCGTCACCTCTATGTGTTTGGGGGAGCGGCTGATTCCACGTTGCCTAATGACTTGCATTGCTACGACCTAGATACTCAGACTTGGAGCATTGTTCCTTTGGCTCAGGACTCCAAGGTCCCTTCCGGGCGACTGTTCCACGCGTGTGCTGTTGTCGGAGATGCCATGTACGTGTTTGGTGGTACGGTTGACAATAACGTGCGCAGTGGAGAAATGTATCGTTTCCAGGTAGGAACTGGTTCATTGTAAGTAGAGCAATGGATAAAATCATCTTGATAAAAAAGACAAATAGAATAAGTTTTTTACTGTCAAAACTGTGATTTGAATGCCAATATTATTATTTATGTTACAAATTTCTCATGGAGGTCTAGTAAGAAACATGATCAATGAAAATCAACCCTCACCATTATTTTTTTTATTTTTATTAACAAATAATAACACCTTTATTGCAATTAGTTAACGATGCTGCATTTCAATCGTCAATTATTTTCTTAATCTTCCGTCGGGCGCATTTGATTTTCAAACACCAAAGGGTGCTCACGGAAGTGACCTCCGGGAGTACAAAAACTATACTAGTTAGTATAGTAGTAGTGTAGTAGTATAGTAGTATAGTATTTTTTACTATATGAGTAAAAAACCTTTACAATGATGAGTAAAAAACCTTTTAATAGAAATAAAAATGTACTGTAAGAAAAACATATTTATGTGTTATTACATTATTACTTAACTTATATATAAAATAGAAAATTTTATAATTAACAATAAAAATATGTAAATGTTGTGGATAAAAAATACCTACTTTTTGTACATAGTATGCCTACAATCGTATAAAATTATAAGAAAATTGCATTAGGCTAAGACATAAAAGCACCAAAGGTATTATGAGAAAAAATCATTTCATACAAGGACAACTTATTTTATCAAGGCTCTTAGAAAAAATGCATTAGTTTATAAAATAAAAACACATATGGTCTAATGGAAAAATCATTTGTTAGAAGAACTACTCATTTTGTCAGAGGTCTCTTCTAAAAAAAAAATGTCTCCCTTTCAACACTAGCCAACAATCGCGCAATTAGTTCTTCATCCATTTTATAATATCGCAAAATAAGGTCAAATACAAGGACGCACACGGAACTAGGCTCCGGGAAACCCGTTGCATCACAGGGTGCACATGGAAGTTACTTGCAGTAGTGATGCGAAACACTCCTCAAAGTCGACTGACAACTGGGAAAGGGGTGGAAATAGCCAAAACCAATTATGCAAAAGAGGTGTGTGAGGTACGCAAACAATGGTTTTTATAACGAAAACTGTAGTGACATGGAGGTAACTTCCTTGATGCGCCCGATGGAAGGTTAATACAGTGGATTCTCTTTAATCCGAACCACCGTAATCCGAACGCCTCATTGCTGTATTCTATACACAGTATAGTAGATCTTTATTGTATACTTTAATTATTGATATATGCACCATTATTGTTTCTATTGTAATGTACATCACTTTTTATTCACTCGTTTCAGCTATTGTTATGTAAACACAACAATATGTTCTATAATCCGAACTATTCAGTAATCCAAACTACCCCCGGTCCCAATTAGTTTGGATTAAAGAGGGTCTACTCTAGATACAACATGTGTTTACCTGCTTTGCTAGATCTCAGTCATTGAATTTTTCAATAACACTTTTAAATAAATAAAATAAAAGAAAGTCGTATCTAGCCTGACTAAAATGTGAAATGTTTCATTTGGTTTACGTAATAAGAGGAATTGATCGAATAGGCCTATATATTATTTATTTCTTCTGTATATAGGTACATAAATAGCATTGATATATTTACAAAGACACTAAATCAATTCAGTAACACTAATGATTAGCGATTTGTCGATACCAAAACGTATGAATTCTCGATTCTTATACCACTTTTTTAATTTCACAAAATTTTCTATATGGATTGGTTATACTGCACCAACCCCTGTTATTATGTCCTTCCATAAATTATTTTTGGAATTTTAAACCCTTACACACATTACATAACTAGGCCCATCATATCAAAGGTAAATAAATATATTTTTAAAAATATAAAAAAGAAAATGTTATAACTCCAGGTAATATCATGATTGTCTCCTACGGTCATGGAGACATCATCATTGTCTTTGTGACCACTGCAGAATCTTGAATATCTTTAATATGCAAAATTCCGGTCATCTCCCGTGGTCGATAAGATCATTATTGTCTCCTGCAGTCACGGCAAAATCCTGAATATCCCCGAGGGTAACAGAAACATCAACATTGTCTTCCCCGATCGTGGTAAAATTCTGATCATCTCCCTCGGCTGTGTAGACACCATCGTCTCCTGCGATGAAACGTCGTCGTCGTCATGCGCGATCGAGGCATAAGCAGTAATTTTTTTGTGCAGACGTGTTGGATATTGGTATCGGCATAAATTTTTGACGATAGATTATCAATAATAAGTCATAAGTCATAAGTCGTTTATTCAGCAAAATTAACATAAAATGCATTAGCTACGTCAACAAAACAAAATAAAATAAAATATTTACATATTGTATTTATATATTGACAATGATAGCAATGTCCAAGAATCGATTGTATCAAAAATCGGTTACAAGAATGGGGGATGCCTATTAACAATATTAAATTATTTGGATAAAAAATTTAATTGAAGGATACATTTCATATGTAAATACAGCAAAATCTTAACTGATCCAAATAGGAATAATTTAGGTTTATAATATGTACCATTGTCAGATGTAAATCTGTGCTTAGTGTAAATATTATTAGGGACTTAAAAATAGAATTTCACATGAGACCTTAAGCACTTTGTATCATCTTGAAATAAAAATCATTCCAGAAGAATATCCAATGAGAAATATATTTGAACTGAGGTTTCCTTCAGGCCTTAAAGCATTTGGACATTATCAATGAAACCATCTCTAAATGGGATCACAACATTTAATTTAAGTTTGTTAAACAATTGGTTACTCTTGTCATTTCAGTTTTCGTGCTATCCCAAGTGCACACTGCACGATGACTTTGGTAAGTTCTTGGAGTCGAGACAGTTCTGTGATGTAGAGTTTCTGCTGGGTCCAGATGAGGTTAAGATCCCGGCGCATGTTGCCGTCGTGGCCGCTCGCTCCCAGTGGCTGCGTCATCGCATCCAGCAAGCTCAAGAGACCAGGGACAAACACCTTGAAACAGTAAGGATTTAGCTGTAACAGTTGAAACTATAAATCTATATCTTTAAAATAGCATAGTTGCGGCGTGAAGGTTATACTGTAAAATATTTATATGGCAAGGTGTCTACTTCCAAAAATCCCTAATCTCCCAAAAAAAGTCCACTATATTTAATTTAGGTCTAGGGTCAAGTATGTCCTAAAAATCATGCAATTTTGATATATTCCCAACTTTTATATTGTACTGTAAATGTTTCAATTTTTAACCAAAGAAGTAATTAATTGTCTATGAAACGAGAGCATGATAAGTGGGGTTAGAGTTTGCCAAGAGTATGCTAGCAAATTTTATTCTGAACTGAAATGTGCGGAGTCAACAAACAAGCGTCTTTTGTCAGTTGAAAACAGTGTGCCTCGTCGAGATATATAGTAGGTATTTCATTATACTCTCCTATCAAAACTCACTCAAATTTCCTGTTGGAGACCCTGTATGATCCCACTATGGAAATGGGTTTTTATGGGGTAAAAATGGGTTATTCTAATTTTTGACCCTCAAAACATAGAATTTCCCAATTTAACTCTAAACTATTTTGTAGAGCTTTAACCCTCCGAGTGTTATGTGTAGAAAAATCGACACATAACACACTTTGTGTAGTGTTTGGTGTCGATTTTTCGACTCACAAACACTGTTTACGGCGAAGGCTCTATGACTGACAAAATCGGATTGAACTGGATCGAGTTAGGTATCGTTTTATTTGGCAGATTCTAAGCTTTCTCCAGAGGTCTGTCTCTAAGCGCTTTTTTTTCTCGAGCCGATCATAATTGTAGCAGACAGCTGACGTGCGTATTTGTAAACAGCTTGGTTAACCCCGCACCGATGACTGATGTGTTTTATTACGTTTATCATTGTTTTAGTGTTAAAAATCAAAAGTAGTGATATACGTGGTGCATTATAAAAAGATTTAAGTGATTTTGAAGGGCTGGTTGATGATCCTGAAGAAGTAGGTAGTGATATTGATGTAAATTATCAGCCAGATTCCTAGCTATGGTTAGGCTAGCTATGCATTTTTAGCTAAACGCTATGTACCGAAATCTGTTTTTTGCCCATAACTTATTTATTTGCAAATCTACTTCCTTATATTATTATATTTTTGGAATCCTCATAAAATTCTGAACAAAGTGGCTATTTTCAAATATTTATAGGCCTATAATTTAAACAATTTCATTGAGCGCAAACTTATTTTTTTTTTCCAAAATATTTTTTTTTACCTAAAATTTTTTTTGAAACAAATGTTCCCTATGTTTTATGTATAATATTTAAGCTTAAAATATTATACAGATAAAATAATGTTACAGATAAAATATAAAAAGACCTGTAAATTTAAGACTTGTTAAGTAATATATTTTGATCAAATTTGGCAACTTTGTCTATTTTATACTACGCCATTAACATTGAAATGAAAACACATTTTTATACCTTCCCTCTAGCAGCAAATCTAGTAAGTACTCATAAAAATGTGTGTTATTTAAGTAGGAAATAAATCTGACAATTTTAAGGGAATAGGTTAATGAAAATCCAACCAAGTAAATGGAAATTCCCTTAGTCTGCAAGTTTGTTGGGGTATTTTTAGATTCATCAGGTAGCATATTTCAGCTAATTTCTTATTGTGGAATATCACAATCTTTTCTATCATAATTCATCTTATAATATAGGCTAGTTAGTAAATTACCACAACACTCTACACGACGGTGGTTGTCAATTGAAATGATTTACACTTACACAATATTGCATTGTTGTGGTGGACGAGTTATACATGCTGAGTGGGGGTAGGTAGCTTTGACGACAGCATAGTAGCATAGCATTGTTGACTGGTAAGTATACAGGAGCCTGTCTGTTCAGAGTTGAAGCTTACTGTGTAGTGTTGCGAATACATGTTTAAACCTATCATCGAGATTAGTACTATTTCTAGTTACATAAGAATTTCTAGAACTTGCAGTTTGCAATGACCAATGCTCCAAGGGTCCGTATATACCAGGTAATATCCTAAGGCGGTTTTAAGACTAAATCTCTTTATGGAAGGTGAATAGCTCCATAATAAAGTGATTTCATAAGCAATAGGAAATATACCATCATCGTACAATCATGGGATACAAAGGGTCTGTGCAGGGTGTCATAGTGCCAGAACGCACCGGAACACAATAAAAATGTAGTTACCATACCATAGGCCTAAGAATGAATACAACATAAATGTTTTTTTCTTCTTTTTTTCTACGCCAGTGGCATTTCACGAGAGAGTCACGAGAGAATAAATGTTTAGTGGATGTGCTGGGGATTGAACCCGTCCCTCCCGCACCAAAGTCTGAGACGCTAACCACTAGGCTAGCAACACAACCATGTTGCCAAAATCTGACAAACTACACAACTTCGACATGAGTAAACAGAACGCGAGTTATACAGCGGCATCAGGAATGTTTTTAGAGTTAGCAACTCTGTCGCTCTGTTGTTACTAGTGTAAAGCGTACCAAAGCTAGTATGTCTGCTGTTACTACTATCCAAGATCTAAGTGATAGTTCACTGTTTTGACTCTCTCTTATGTCAATGTCAATTTTCAATGCCTAAGTTATGTTTTTTGTGTGTGTTTTGAGATTTTTTTGCAAATTCAATTATATTGAGCTGTGAATAAGTGACTAGGTTCGCTTTCGCTATTAACACTGTAATGCAATAGAATCCAGTTTAAAGAAAAGTGGTATAAGAATCATCTAAGACTTTACTTAGAACATGAACATATGAACTATAATATATAAAATAAAGCCTTTTTTATACAATAAATATTTGTAAAGCGATGGTTTTTATTTGTTTAACAGCTTTATGAAGTGTTTGTTAAATTTATCTTTGGTTACTTTTTATCCTAACCCAAATTACATTATAAAGCAAACAATATTTGTTGATGACACATAATATTCTGGCGAGTATGTCTGCATCCCTCCATCTGCTACATTGTTTGTATGTATATCACCGTGAAGATATTTACATAGGCCTACTCTTACTTGTCGGGTTACCAAAAAAATCTGCTATCTTTTTGAAATGGTACAACATAAACACACTATATCAGCTTGAATAAATGTTGTTTGAAAAATATAAATTCTTATATACAGCATTGCATGATTTAACTTGCTTTAACATGCTGGAAAGGTTTTAATAATTATTTTCATAATATTTCACCTATCTATTTTTGGTGTTTCAGTTATTCGGTACCACGCAAGTCCCATTCAAAGACATTCCTCTTCTGGAAGTAAAATTAATAGATGCTGTGCCTGAAGCGTTTGACATGGTTCTCAACTACATCTACACTGACCGAATCGACCCGACCAAAAAAAGTATGCTTTTCTGAGTGTTTTGGATTGCAAAATATTGCTTGGTTTGGATATTAAAACAGACTAGGCATAAAAAGAGCTGTTACTATAGTCTGAACATTTGATGAGATTGTATTACATTATTACATATAGTATAGAGTGTTGACGAGACGCCTGTGTCACTGAAATCCGGCATAAGGATTCTCATTAGCACACTCCATGATCATTGTGATCTCGTCTTGATCTCTGTTGGATGGACTGCCAAATCATTGATAAAAGTTAATTATGATTATTGATTAGGTTGCTTAATGCAGTTGACAAATCAATGCTCTAATCGAAATTCAGCTTAAGGCTCGTTAATCAAACAGTGTTCTCAATCAAGGAATTATTTATCTTTTAAGATAATGGCAAAGTAACCAAACCAAATAATTATTATAAAGCGGGAAAACTTTATATTTCATATATTTTGACGCTAATGTATTTACTATTTATTGAAAAAAATAAATAAATGTGTTAGTCTATTGCCTATTTACAGAAAGAAAATAAAAATATGTCTAATAATTTACACTTATACTGTTAACTCACCAGATGGTAAATACATATAAAAGGTGGTAAAAGATGATTGATTCCGATTGGACACTCCAATCATCATCGTACCCAATAGGCGAATTAATTATTTCCACAACTTTTTTGATCATACAACTTTTTTTTATCAAGAAGTTGTTTATTGTCAATTGTCTAATGCAAACTAATTAATTTAGAAATGGATGTAACATATACACAAGGACCTAGGATTGTTGTGAGGATAGCAAGAAGAGTCCTATCTGGCACAAGAAACACCAGCGTAGAGGTATAGTTCAAACAGTAAGTGTGCAGCTTTATGTTTCATGTGCCTGTTTAGACTCCCTTTCCAGTAAATCTGTTAATGTAGATATATTGTCTAATGTCTATGGAAATATCTTCACACAGTTTGACACATTTCTTTGAAGCCTAAACATCACACTTACGTGTTCTTTATTGGCAACTAGTATTTTAATTTACAGTGTGTTTTTTTGTTTCAGTTGAAGATCCAAATTCTCACAAGATTGTCCTCTTAATGATGGACGTCTATAGGTTAGCAGTTCAGGTAAATTTTACTTCTAACCCTCTTTTAATCAATCTTAATCTTACTGTAAAGGACCATGAGGTCCTAAGATCGCCTCAATAAAGAAGGATATTCAATACTTTTCTTTTGAGTAGTTTCATGTAAAATTGTTATTTAGTTTCAAATTTCATTGGTTAAAGTCACCCTGGAAATGAAATGTGTTTTCCTTAATTAGGGATATGTCGATACTGATTCTCGATACCACCGCTACTTGGACATTGGTATTTCACAATTCAATTAAGGGGTGGTTAACCACAATTAAAAGCTTATCTAGACTTTTTTTCTTTCTCATCAGTGTTTATTAATGATGGGATTTCTTTACTTCAGCATACATAGAGAGGATGGATTGATTTAAGCCACTAATCGTTTTTGCTGCTGTTCTAGATACATCATATGCTAACAATGCTTTTAAAAATATGTGCTTAAACAAAGATAAAAAAATCCATCATAGTGTATTAACAACACAATTAATTTTAAGACGAGATTGTAAAATGATAGATGGGGTGAGTTTATTTCATTTTGTTTATTTCCAGGAATATGTCAACTAGGTGGTCTGTCATGGTTTTGAAGTGATTAGTTGATTTCCATACAATATTTAACAAATATCCTCACTTTTAGTGTAAAATAGAACAAGTAAGAGGTTTCATGAAAATATAAAGATTTAAATTTGAAGTTTGAGCAGTTCATTTACTAAAATTCCTTCAACTGATCATGCAATTAACACATTCAGTGCTGACTACATCAATTGATGTAGTCGCGCCACGAGCGCTCCTATCGGCCTACATCAATTGATGTAGTTGCGCAACCCCCACTACATTAGTTCAGTAGGAGCTCAGCCATTGCTGGGGAACGTTAAAATCGTTGCTAGTCTGTAGCTTAGAATGTGAGCTTTATTTTCGTGTAGGTTGGTAATAAAATTTCCCGTAAAATCCCGTCTGACAATGCTTTTGTCCCGGTTTCGGGGATTTTCTCTCTTCCATCCATATTACAAGGCCACTGACTACTGATCTAGAAAGTGCACCTTTGGGTGTTTTAGGGATCAATGTCCAATCTCGGGGTAAGGTAGTACAATCGCTGCTGCTCGCTTGTTATTCGTCAGATTGAAATATTTTAATGCCAATTGCGTTCGCTGTTACGGTGCCGCGCTGGGGCTTCGTCGCCATTGGCGAGCGCCTGTTGGAATGCCTGCCGCACTTAACGTGTTAGTTAATTAGTCAAACGAATTAAAAGCTTAGATAAATTTAAAAGGTTACTGGCAAATATATTTTTATATGAATACTTATGCGCTGAGGTAAAAATACATCTTTTTTGGATTATTTTTACATAGCATTATGTAAGAACTACTTAACTTTGTCCATTAATTCAAAAACAAAATATTTTCCTAAAGTTGTCTTTGAATATAATTTTATTTTTGAATTGTCATTTAAAATTTGACCCCAATTCAATTGTCATTTTCAGTTTCATATGAAGAGGCTGGAACAACTTTGTGTTCAGTATCTTGAAACGTCCATCACTCATCGAAATGTCTTGGAGGCGCTTCACAATGCGACCACACTCAAGCTCTTCTACATCAAGGAATTCTGTCTCAAGTTCATAGTTAAAGAGTCAAACTACAACCATATCATTATGAGCAAGGACTTTGAGACGTTGGAAAAGTCTCTGATGGTAGAAGTAATCAGAAGACAGAGAATGCCTCATATAAGAACTCTACTTGAACCACAGTTTGATAATACAGGTAATTGTTTCCTTTATAGGCTTTTTCACACGTTCACTGCGCTACAAGATCCCGAGGTCTCGTATCGTACCAAGCCCATGGTGCAGGACCCATAATTTGGCTTCTTTCCTAAAGTTGCGACATCGATATTTCAGCGTACAGTTATCGTAAAGAAATTAAACTTGTACATATATAATGCTTTTTATCTTTATGTATCAACTAGTAAACATGAAATGAACAAGATAAATAGATCTCGTAACACACTGAAGTAATAAATTTTTACTTTGTTACGATACAAGAGCCAAAAATAGTTGTTCCTAGCACCACATGAGGCTAATGTTGTGATTATAGTATAGTAACCATGGCAACTTTTGTTGAATGCTTGGATGAAAGAAGGAAACCCAAGAAATAATTCAAGAACAAAGAGGAAGAATAATGGCGTTTTTATGTTGTTATCTTTATGAGTTATCTAATGTTTTTTAGGTTTACATAATAATTGTTTTCGACTACGGGAACATAAATTATTTTTTATTATTGATGTGTTTCTCTTCTGAAACAGCACTAACGGATGCGTAATAAAGGTCATTGGTAAATTACCTAAAATATCCTGATTGTGCAATGTTGTATTTTGATGTAAAAAAATAAATCATGATATTAATTCGAATATTTCTCCTGGTCCCTAATAAATCATACAAAAATCAATGCAAAATAATTGTCAAACCGGACAAGGAATTTTCGATAAACAACTTTGTATTATTCTTTTACGATTGGAATTCCCTTTCCCAGCCCTTTAGAGAAGTGGTGCAAGTCTAAATATAGCTTCAAGGTTGCAACCACCCCGTCCACGCACTGTGGTCAGCACTCGTTTCGAGGTCATTGCCCAACCCCAAAATCATAACAAAATAAATACAGTAATTTGTAATCATATTTCATTTGTATTTTATTTAGCCTGAAATCAGCCGTAAGGAAACTATTATTATAAAAAGTGATAATAGAAAGATAAAATATATATTTTACTGCGGTTACGATTATTAGGAATTCGTAAATAAACAGATAACACATATTGTTCTTAAATTGTTATTGTAGGAAAATTAATAAATACAAATAAAAAATGAACTATTACAGCTGTGCGGTACGAGATCTCAGGGTCTCGTACAATGACGTCATATTCACTTCCTGGGCTGGCTGAAGATTGTCAACATTGTACTGGTTCACATAAACACTCAGCACTCTCTCTCGCCTTTCTTTGTGAGATTATGATGCGCAAAAGATTTCTGTGCAACGTAATATCGGGGTCTCGTATCGCACCTGGGTTATCATAGCGGACGAGACCTATAGATCTCGTAATGCACCATTGGAATAATGCAAGAAAATATACAACGCAGTGAACGTGTTAACAACAAAAGATCCTATCTATTCCTGATTCAATGTTCGATGTGAAGTACAGAGTGTCCATAAGCCATGTACATGAAATTGCAGTCTTAGGGACTCTCGTCCAGGGAACATTAGGATCCAAAACATTTCTTTAATTCTTTAAACATTTTTTTTCCTTAACCAGAAACATACTATGATAACTAACTCGGATAACCGGAGCTCGGATGATCAACAGTGTACTGTATTCTTTTTTCCTGACTTAACACTTTACCAGACAAAAGTATTTTGTTTCACAAAGGAAGTAATTGCGGATGGAACTATTATTTATTATTTTACTGTAACCATTAAGCAAGATGATAAATTATTAGGGATGGTCAAGTCTCAAAATTTCGGGAAATTTTCGGGAAATTATAAATCTCGTTACACGAGACGAGATTTCTTTTTGGCCGAGATTTTTATCGAGACGAGAATAAAAAAAAAAAAAAAAAAATATTAAAAACGCCTGCAGAAAGTCAATGCAATACCCGCAATACAGGAGCGTGTTGTAGTTGCGTTTCCTTTGCGAAGGCGTTCTTATTTAATTAATTCTTTAAATGTTTAAATATTACTTTAATTATTTTAATAATATTACTTTAATAACATTTGAGAAGTTTTGTTAAGTGTAAGCAGTGTGAGGAATGTTTTATTACTATAAAAAGTCAAAACAAGTAACTATTTTATAAAAACTAATATTGCTTTTATTTAATGATTTATTTTATTTTAGGATAAGTTGATCTCTATCCTAACTGATATCACTATGTTTCCTAATCGTAGGCATTTTTAATAAGTTAAGCGTGAATAATAAAAAAAATGTTATGCTGATGCTTTTTAATAAAAGATTGTAAATATTCTTGCCTATTATCATTATTTTTGTATTTAAACAGTCATCTAACAATGTTACAAAATCAGGTAAAAATTTTGAACGTGCATTTCCCGTTGTGTATGAGAAGGGAAATCCCGTCTCGATCTCGTCTCAAAATTTTATGAGAAATAAAAAATCTCGTCTCGTCTCGTCTCAAACTAAAAATCCAATCTCGTCCATCCCTATAAATTATGTTAAATCTTGTCTTCCTTCTAACCTCATGTTGACTACACAGTTACTGACATACCAGCCTGATCAATCCGGCATGTAACCAAATGATGGATCATAAACATAAACAAATGATTCACTGTTCCAATTGTAAACTATTAATGATAACATCTAGTAAGGCTTCGATTTCGGCTGTCAAATATTGTTTGACACTTCCCTTTGTACATACAGTAGACAGCGCTACCGACCATGAGAGGACCAGACCTGTTTTTAGGTTGGATAACTTGTAAGGTCTATTAAAACGGGCAATCCCTTTAAAAAAACTATAAAAAATCAAATGCTAAAGATACAAGCAACCATTTTGTCATAAGACAGGACATTTATTTATACTAACATCCTGCAGAGTTTTGCGTGTTCCCGTCGCTGAGCGTAGGAGCGGAAATGCCAAAATTCCTAGAAAGCGGTGGTTAAACTGAACCGATCTCGGTTAAAACGAACTGTAATATTTTATGAGCGAAGGCGGATAGTTTGATTATCGGTTAATGCGAGCAGTGGAGCAAATGGAGTAGTCGCTCCAGGGCGGCAAGCATGAGATCACTGATCTGTCAAATAAGTGAATACTGTAGTGATTCGTGAGGTTATGTTTATCGTGGTATTCGAGTTGTTAATTTATTAATACACCACTGTTTCTTTAGAATTGATGTTTAGTGCTAATAATGAACTATGAATGTGGTTAAAAATATGTCTACAAAGTATGCTGGTGGTGAGGTGATAAGTTTTGAACAGAGGCCCACCAAACCCTGATTTAGTTATCACACAATATCCTGTCATGCTACCAGTACACTATCGCCGAACATTCGCCCGAACCATCCCGAACTAACCAAGTACACTATCGGCTAACTTCGGCCGAACTGTGCTGAACCCAATATTGCGTATTCGGGGCAAAACATTCCCACCAAATTTTGTGCAACATGGACGCTAACATCGAAGAATATTCGAGAAAGTTCTGTAATTTTCGTTTGGTGTTAGACACCACTTGAATGTATCCTAAGTTTCTTACTTCTCTATCTCTTCTCTTCTCTTCTGTGGCTTAATAATTTAAAATTAATGCTTGCTTTTTTATTAAAATAATGGTTTTCTTAAACGATAATGCATACATGTATATATTCCATTTAATTATCCCACGGCCACAGAACAGGCTCACTATGGTATAGTTCCAAAAATAACAGCGTTTCCTCATTAGAATACTCCATACTTTGTACAATTAATTTATCTATATAAGATCTAGTAGAAAATAATTAAATAACAAAAACTAAAAGTAACTCTAACTACACAACCAGTGCAGTAAATACTGTATAAAGAGAGCGTCCGTGACTACGAATGACAGCGAGTGTGTACTGGCTATGTTCGTGCCCGTCTGCGCTCGGCATTCGTCCTAGTTCGTCTCCTTAGATTCGTGACGGGAGACCGCCAAAAAAGCGAGCGCACCCGAACACGAATGTTGGCGGTGCGAACTACCCCAAATGTACACGAGCACACCGTGTACACTATCGCGTTCGTCTTAGTTCGCCTACATTCGGCGATAGTGTACTGCAGGCATCAAAGTAGGAAAGGAATTATGTTAGTACTGTTCAATTATGCCTTAGATAATGCCCAAACGGGCATTAATTGTTGTTGTAAATTTGCGTCCTTTGTTCAGTTCCCGCTGTTAACGTGCACTTGGTAAAGCTATCCTGTTTTGAGGAGATTTCTAAGTATGGTTAAATTCATGTTTTTATTTTTGAAAACCTTAATCAAATAGGTATATGTATACCCAAATAAATATAATAAACCCAATTAAAATACCAATCTATGTTTTAAAAATTATTATGTCTAGATTGCATAAAAACGCTAGTTTACAGTTATTAATTTTAAAAACGGACCCCCCCCCCCCACTGCCTGAGAGAGGTACTGGGGGGCAGCTTGGGCCATCCCTGCCCCAAGGCGCTCCAAACCTGGCTACGCCACTAAATGTGAGGTCAGTTAAGATGGGGCCTACTCTGAATATATTATTTGGGTGTTCTTATCAATATTTTGTTGGAAAGCATCATTAATCTATGTTGCTGTACTCCTTTATTATTTTGTATAGTTTACTATTTGTGTGCATAATTTGTGCTTTGGATTGTATCCTTTTGATTTTTGCATTTAATTTCAAATTTTTTGTTCAGAAAAGGGTCCAGTCCGAGAGGGGATCCATTATAATTGGTACACTTGTAATAGAATGTTAAACAATTTCTGGTTCATTTTTTAGGTACAACGCTTGAGCAGGATATGGAATGCTTTCTCAAGTATTCTGGCAAGGAGTTTTGTGACATTACCCTCATGCTGGATGGGGAAGCCATCCATTCCCACAAGTCTATCCTGGCAGCACGCTGCAGCTATTTTGAAGCTATGTTCAGATCGTTTATGCCTGTGGACAATGTTGTACATGTAAGTGAACCATTATGAACATTTTTTTATTTGAAAAATCACGTGTAACATTTAATAGTTTTATGAAATTTCCAGTTTAAAGAGTCTTAACAGGTAAGTAGCTATTTCCATTAGTCTAGTCCAGGACCACAATAGTTTTTCTTGTTGTTTGTACTTCTAGATTTGGATCAAACATGTAAACCACATATGGTGTCCAGGATGATGAAATTCTGAATTCTATTAATTCTTTCAAAATTTTTGGAAAGTATGGGAATGGTTATTTGTGTAACTAGTGCGATGTGAGAAATGTTTACGCACGAACCGCAGGCAAGTGTGGAAAGTTTTTTGAGTGCTGCAAAGGCACTTTGCACTCACGTTACACATTATATTTTTCCTACAGTTACTATAAATCATAGAAATAATTAGTCTTTCAAACACGAAACAACACGTGTTAGGTTAGGTTAAATCCAAGCGTTGAACGAAAATAGAATGTTAACACAAAACAACAGGTTAAGTCGTAGTATCAATACTTAAAGGCTGTGGTTGAAACGCTGCACCACATGATCATAGTCGTAGTAACTTTAAGTGTTGCCAACTTATTCTCAAGCGTACACTCCTTATTAAGTACCTATTAAAGCACACTGTTTTGTATTGTTTGGTTGGAATACTGGAGTGCGGCAAAGTAAAGTGAGTGTGGCAAAAGTAAGTAAATGCATCAATTAACTACTTTGCGTGCTATAATCAGTGCAAGGAAGCCTGAAAAAACTGAAGGGTAAAACTTTATTCTTTCCCCTTCAATTTGAGGTTCAAATTGTTTAATTATCTTTAAATGTCCCTAGGCAACGGCCGTTTAAAATCCCGGTATTCCTTTGTGGACACTCTGTATTTTGTGTTTGAAACGGTTCTGAGGTAAAGCCTAGGATGTGAAATAAAAACCCCCCCTTACTGTAACAATTTAAAAATGTTCAAATAAATAATGATGTCTCTGTTTTAAATCAGAATATTGTTAATGTTATTGATAAGCTATGCATTCATAAAGCATCTGAAAATTCCTATTGGAAAAGAAAATAAACATTTTGAGCTAAGAATTATTTTAAACATGCTTACCATCAAGGCTGATTGTACGAATATGTACAGGGTGGTAAAATATCCCGGAAAGTTTTAATATACTTTTGACCATTTTATAATAAACTGTATAAATTGGTATAACCTATGACATAAAAATTCACATTTTTATGGAACTTCTTTAGGCCCACGAGAAATAAGTAGAAAATCTAATGCTGTAAATTTGAGCTAAAAAGAATAACTGAGTCAAAAATGGCAGATTCCAAATTGCAAATTCAAGAAATCTTTAAGCGGCTGCCATTTTTGACTCAGTTGTTCTTTTGAGCTCAAATTTGTGATGAGCAAATCGACCTATGCTTACATTTATGATGTTCTTCTACCTTCAAGCGGGCGCCCCTCCTAGTAGGAAGCGTATCATTGCATAGCAAATTCAAGAAATCTTTGAACAACTGCCATTTTTGACTCGATTGTCCGTTTAAGTTTGGGTTTTTGCGGTGTTGTATTTTATTAACATAAACTTTTATTTGATGTGTAAGCTATGATTAAATTTAAGATTTTCATCCGATTCCTAGTGGGCCTTCCCCCCGAGAAGGTAACACATCCCTGAATATTGTTTTAAAATAGTTTTTATGACTAGTAACTTTGATCTAAGTTTGGTAGCTCTATCTTTATTATTTTTTAAATATTTAACCGCTTTGCGACTTTTCTACATCCTGTATAGGTAACATATCTTTGTTCGTCTTCAGTCTTAAAACAGTAGTTTGGGGATTGGGATTACTAAGCGCCATTTGTTTTGTGCTTAAATGTGGCCAACCTATCGTTTGTGAAAACCTAGGTACACATTTTAACGTTAAAATTAGGGATGGTCAAGTCTCAAAATTTCGGGAAATTTTCGGGAAATTTTAAATCTCGTTACATGAGACAAGATCTCTTTTTGACCGAGATTTTTATCGAGACGAGAAAAAAAAAATTAAAAACGCCTGCAGAAAGTCAACGCAATACCGGCAATACAGGAGCGTGTTGTAGTTGCGTTTCCTTTGCGAAGGCGTTCTTATTTAATTAATTCTTTAAATGTAAATATTACTTTAACCCTAGCAGTGGCCAACCGTCGCCTGGTGACGGTATGACGTTGATGCTTAGAATGGCCAATGTCGTCTGGTGACGGTATGGGCCGAAATTTTTTTAACGGTAAAAAAAACACTTACAATCAACTCAGATGAGAATAATATATATACCATTCGAAAGATCACATTCTGAACTTTCATTTGATTACATAAACAAACTCTGTAGCAGGTATATAACAATGTCACGACGATTAGAAATCAAATGAAATTTTGGCGCGGTACGACTTTAGCAGCCGACACTTGGGAACTGGCAAAACACGTCTTGTTTGGCATTACCCTGCTCGGGTAATTTTCGTCTTGGGATATTGCGGGTGGTACCACTGGATAGCCATTGATTTTATCTTCATTGTGGTAGTGATATTTATAACTAAATATTGATTGCACAATCGGTACGATTTTATGAAAACAGCTGTTTTCGAAATTTCTAACAAATGGCCAACAGTCGTCTGGTGACAGTATGGAAAATACGAATTATATACAGTGAAAGTTATTATTACTAGTCATATAGTATATCATTTTGAAGAGGAAGAAATTTAGATTCAGAGAGTGGCAGCCCTGCACTCAGGGTTATTTCTGTATGCTCGCATGTAGACGACAAGTGAGTCATTACTGCTACAGTCTGTCAGCTGTCTTGTATTGCCATTGTTTGTTTGTGTTGTTGCCGTAATAGTTTTATCCGCGATTTATTACTAAATATGTTATTAGTTTCGTAGTGTTAGTGTTAGTGAAGTGTTGTGTGTGTGTATAACAGTAATCTTCATGCATAAATATTACTGAATTGTGTGAAATAGTGTTCATAAAAGGTTGTATTTTGTTAGCATCATGTCCTAAAATGACGATTCTGACATTCAGAGATTGTTGTACCTATATAATGATATACCCAAGGTGTTATACATTTTTATAAAGGTAAATGAATACACTACAACATGTTTATAATTGTTTGGGGGTAAAAAATTTTGTAAAAAAGTTATAGCCTATACTAAATAGGCCTACTACTGTATTTTGTTAGCATCATGTTCAAAAATGACGATTCTGACATTCAGAGGTGCTATATATGCTATATAATGATTTACCCAAGGTGTTATACATTTTTATAAAGGTAAATGAATACACTACAACATGTTTATATTGGTTTGGGTGTAAAAAATTTTGTAAAAAAATTATATAGGCTACTAAATACTGTACACTCCATTTTCTGGAAATGCGCAAAAAATTCAAAACGTTCTCAAATTGATACATAATCATAGGTGAAAATAACTTTTTACCATCATACTTATGACTTTTTTTGGATTCCTTACTTCATTAGCTTTACAAATATGTAGGCTACATATCATCAGCCTACATAATGTTTCACAACACAAGCAAACACTGTAGGCTATAGTTTACACTTATTTGCGGTTTTGCGGTTATTGTATTATTATGTCCCTATTACGTACCTACAAAAAAAAAATATTTCTAACATGTTATACATTTTTATGTAGGTAATTGAATACAGTACAAGATTATTATGTTGGTTTGAAGTAAACAAATTTGGTACAAAAGTTGTATACTAAGTACTTTCTCGAGAAATCGCTAAAATATAAAAACATTATTTTATATACGTATGTTTATAGGTAAAAAATTATTTTTACCATAAACTTTATGACTTTTTTTGATTCCTTACTTCATTAGCTTTACAAACATGTATATATCATTATTAGTATACACATATATTATAGAACTTTTTACAACATAAACTAACACTGTACGGTTTTCAATTTTTTCGGTTCTCCGTTTGTCATTATATTTCGCCCCAAAAACTTATAAAAAAAAATATTTTCCTAACATGTTATATATTTCTATGTAGGGAATTAGATTGTCTACAAAATGTATATAATGAATTTCCCATAAAAAAATCCGTAGAAAAAAAATGCAGAGGCCGCTTTTGAAATTTCAAAAAAAAAATTCAATTTTTTTTATTTTTTTCACTTTACCGATAAAATACACTGTCTAAATCATTATGATATTACTATTTCTAGATTCTCCTGTTCTTTCCGAACAAAATGAATATGAGGTTGGCTAGGTTTACTTGTATGGTTGAATTTTTACGAATTTTCAAAAAATGGTCTGCAAAATCGCCAAAATGGGTTGGCCATTCCCCACTTCTAACATTGGCCACTGCTAGGGTTAATTATTTTAATAATATTACTTTAATAACATTTGAGAAGTTTTGTTAAGTGTAAGCAGTGTGAGGAATAATTTATTACTATAAAAAGTCAAAACAAGTAACTATTTTATAAAAATTAATAGGTATTGCTTTTATTTTATGATTTATTTTATTTTAGGATAAGTTGAACTACCTAACTGATATCACTATGTTTCCTAATCATTTTTTAATAAGTTAGGCGTGATTAATAAAAAAATGTTATACTGATGTTTTTTAATAAAAGATTGTAAATATTCTTGCCTATTATCATTATTTTTGTATTTGAACAGTCATCTAACAATGTTACAAAATCAGGTAAAAATTTTGAACGTGCATTTCCCGTTGTGTATGAGAAAGGAAATCCCGTCTCGATCTCGTCTCGAAATTTTATGAGAAATAAAAAATCTCGTCTCGTCTCGTCTCGAACTAAAAATCCAATCTCGTCCATCCCTAGTTAAAATGTAAACTTTATTTATCAACGTGTATTTATATATTAAAGAATATGTCTGTTGGATTTCATGGACTACAACTTGATATTTTGGATCTGGAATGGGTCTTTGACCCGAAACTAGTAATCCCCAAGACTAAAGATGGACAAAGGTACGTATCCTTTCACATACAAGAATTAGGCTATGTTTTTTTTAGATACAAATTGGTGAGATGGTTCCTTCACGGCAATCATTCGACTCTTTACTTCGATACATTTACTATGCAGATGTGAACATGCCTCCAGAAGATTCTTTGTACCTCTTCAGTGCTCCTTACTTTTATGGATTTACCAACAATAGGCTACAGGTATTTATATTTCATAGTTCTCCAATAGTCAACATTCTTTTGCTGTAGCTCTAAAGACTGCAGTTTTGACCAATGTATATCTCTGTCAGCACTTCATAATCAACCCGAATAAACCATAGAACTCCAAGGGCTGGCAAGTTCCATAGTTGGCTTGTACAACTTGTGAGGAGTTTTATGCTTTGGTCAGTTAGGCATTAAGTTCAAACATTTGAACAATTTCCGCTACCAACCTAACACTTTTGTATCGTTGGTATTTGTTTACTTTAGGGGCTTCTAACGAATTTTGAAAAAAATGTTTTTTCTCATTATTTGGCCTATTTTGAACACTTTTTACATTTGACACTTTTGGGGCAACGCCTATTTCACCCTGAAAATCGCGTTTGAAAATCGTGAAAATTTTTCAGCAATTGCCATTTTTACTTAGAAAATCTGGGTTTTCCCCCCTTACCTTTCTTTAAATGTGTTTAATTATTTTAGTAATAAGCAGATGTATATTTAAACTAACCTAACTTAACCTAGCCTAACCTAACCTAACCTTTTTAATTGGTTTAACTAAAAATCCGCTATTTTCGGCATATTGCTAACCTAAGCATTGGTTAGGTAGGGTTGGGTTAGGTTAGGAAGGATTGGGTTAGGTTAAGTTAAGTTAGGTTAGGTTAGGTTAGATTAGTTTAAATTATAGTTAGGTTAGTTTACGTAAGGTTAAGTTAGGTTAGGTTAGATTTAAAATATTCAGGTGATTTTAGGCTAATTGATTTAAATAATAACTTAATAAATTAGCCATACCTGACCTAACCTTAACTAACCTTAACTAACCTAACCTAACCTAACCTAACCTAACCTAACCTAACGTAAGTTAACCTAACCTTGTAGTCCATGAGCCAAACCTAAAAATGACCTTAATTGGTACCACCTGGGGTGGCAAGTGCTATCAATGTTTTTCTTGCATATTTTTATGTGTAGATCAAGAATATATGTGATAGCAATGCATAAGTAGTAGCTTTATGTACAAAAAAGTAGGTTTTATATGACAAAATTGAATTTTTTCTCAAAAAATTTAATTTTGTCTCATACATTGGTAAGAAGACACCAGTAAAGGTGGCACGTGCTATTAATGTTTTTCTTGTATAGTTTTATGTGTAGATGAAGGATATATGTGATAGCAATGCATAAGTAGTAGCTTTATGTACAAAAAAGTGGGTTTTATATAACAAAATTGATTTTTTTCTCAAAAAATTGTATTTTGTCTCATTTGTATGAAGGTACCAGTCAAGGTAGCACATGCTATCAATGTTTTTTTATATGGTTTAAAGTGTAGATCAAGAATATATGTGATAGCAATGCATAAGTACTAGCTTTATGTAAAAAAATAGGTTTTTATATAACAAAATTGAATTTTTCTCAAAAAATTGAATTTTGTCTCATATATTGGTAAGAAGACACCAGTCAAGGTGGCACGTGCTATCAATGGTTTTCTTGTATAGTTTTATGTGTAGATCAAGAATATATGTGATAGCGTTGCATAAGTAGTAGCTTTTATGTACAAAAAAGTAGGTTTTTATATAACAAAATTGAATTTTTTTCAAAAAAATTGTTTTTGTCTCATATTTTTGTAAGAAGTTACCAGTCAAGGTGGCACGTGCAATCCATGTTTTTTTGTATCGTTTTATGTTTACATTAAGGATATATGTGATAGCAATGCATAAGAAGTACCTTTATGTAAAAAAATAGATTGTTATATTTTAAAAAGGATTTTTTTTCTCAAAAAATGTAAATTTTCTGATAAATTTGTTGAAAGGTCCTAGTCAAAGTGGCGGCACGTGCTATCAAAGTTTTTCTTGTATGTTTTTTTATTAAGTTTTGTATGTGTATCATAAACTTACATTATAGCATTATCTATGTAAAAGCTTTTTCTTAAAATAATCATTTTAAATTTGAAAATATCAAAACTTTTGTTTTAACAACATGTTTTTGGCATGAAGATTGATTCAAAACGTTCCAATGAAAAATTGTTTAATGTAAATGTTGTTCTTTTCTCCAATATCTAAAACAAAGCGTATTTACTTTTGTCCGTATGTCTTACTTTTTATTCGCTATATGGACTGGAGTGCGTTCTGGCTCCATGCTTCAAAACATCAAGTCGTCTTAAATGAGCCCGTCCAGTCTAGCACCAAATTAACATACCTATTGATATTTGTAATATATATATTGTATATTATATTTATATAATTATAATGTTATGACATTATATAGGGTATAACTGGTAAAGAACACAAGATTAGCTATTGAATTCTTTAATTATTTCTTTAATGAATATGTCAGTTTATGCCCTTTACAGGTGTTTGGGTAAGAAATAAAGTAGTTTTAGTAATTTAATGAAACAGTTCCTCATATTCTTTTTATGTAACGTTATCTTCATGGTTGTCTTGAACTTTATCTTGACTAGTACCTTCTTACAAATAAATGAGACAAAATTCAATTTTTTTAGAAAAATTCAATTTTGTTATATAAAAACCTATTTTTTTACATAAAGCTACTACTTATGCATTGCTATCACATATATTCTTGATCTACACATAAAACTATATAAAAAAACATTGATAGCATGCGCCACCTTGACTGGTACCTTCATACAAATGAGACAAAATAAAATTGTTTGAGAAAAAATTCAATTTTATTGTATAAAACCCACTTTTTTGTACATAAAGCTACTACTTATGCATTGCTATCACATATATTCTTGATCTACACATAAAACTATACAAGAAAAACATTGATAGCACGTGCCACCTTGACTGGTGTCTTCTTACCAATATATGAGACAAAATTCAATTTTTTGAAAAAAAATCAATTTTGTTATATAAAACCTACTTTTTGTACATAAAGGTACTACTAATGCATTGCTATCACATATATTCTTGATCTACACTTTAAACCATATAAAAAAAACATTGATAGCATGTGCCACCTTGACTGGTACCCTCATACAAATGAGACAAAATACAATTTTTTGAGAAAAAAATCAATTTTGTTGTATAAAAACCACTTTTTTGTACATAAAGCTACTACTTATGCATTGCTATCACATATATTCTTGATCTACACATAAAACTATACAAGAAAAACATTGATAGCACGTGCCACCTTGACTGGTGTCTTCTTACCAATGTATGAGACAAAATTCAATTTTTTGAAAAAAATTCAATTTTGTTATATAAAACCTACTTTTTGTACATAAAGGTACTACTTATGCATTGCTATCACATATATTCTTGATCTATACTTTAAACCATATAAAAAAAACATTGATAGCATGTGCCACCTTGACTGGTACCCTCATACAAATGAGACAAAATACAATTTTTTGAGAAAAAAATCAATTTTGTTGTATAAAACCCACTTTTTTGTACATAAAGCTACTACTTATGCATTGCTATCACATATATTCTTGATCTACACATAAAACTATACAAGAAAAACATTGATAGCACGTGCCACCTTGACTGGTGTCTTCTTACCAATGTATGAGACAAAATTCAATTTTTTGAAAAAAATTCAATTTTGTTATATAAAACCTACTTTTTGTACATAAAGGTACTACTTATGCATTGCTATCACATATATTCTTGATCTATACTTTAAACCATATAAAAAAAACATTGATAGCATGTGCCACCTTGACTGGTACCCTCATACAAATGAGACAAAATACAATTTTTTGAGAAAAAAATCAATTTTGTTGTATAAAACCCACTTTTTTGTACATAAAGCTACTACTTATGCATTGCTATCACATATATTCTTGATCTACACATAAAACTACACAAGAAAAACGTTAATAGCACGTGCCACCTTGACTGGTGTCTTCTTACCAATGTATGAGAGAAAATTCAATTTTTTGAGAAAAAATTCAATTTTGTTATATAAAACTTACTTTTCGTACATAAAGCTACTACTTATGCATTGCTATCACATATATTCTTGATCTACACATAAAACTATACAAGAAAAACATTGATAGCACTTGCCACCCCAGGTGGTACCAAAATATCAATTGGCTCATGGACTATTGGTTTAACTAAAAATCCGCTATTTTCGGCATAAGAATAAGAATAAGAAATTTATTGACCATTAAGTAAATACATTGTTTACAATAGATCTCGTCAAATTAGTTAAACAAGTGTCAGGCTTTTGGTCAAGCATTGGTTAGGTAGGGTTGGGTTAGGTTAGGTTAAGTTAGGTTAGGTTAGATTAGATAAAGTTAGGTTGGATTATATTTAATTCTGTAGGTTCTTAGTAATAGTAAAAACACATTAACTTAAAGGTTAAAAAAAACTACGCAAATTTTTAGCACTTTTTGCAATTTTCAAACGTGATTTTCAGGGTGAAATAGGCGTTTGCCCCAAAAGTGCCAAATGTAGGCCTACAAAGTGTTCAAAATAGGCCAAATAATGAGAAAAAACCATTTTTTTCAAAATTCGGTAGAAGCCCCTAAAGTAAACAAATACTGTATCGTTTATTTATTATTGATTTTTAGGCATTCTGCAAGCAAAACCTAGAAATGAATGTTACTTTTGAAAACGTAATCCAAATCTTGGAAGCTGCTGATAGAATGCAAGCTACAGACATGAAGAAATATTCCTTGAATTTGATCGTCCATCATTTTCCTAAGGTGAGAATTAAGTTTTTTTTTTTAATTTTGCTTTTTTTTGTGAAAAGTAAATATAAAAATTAGTCCAACTTTATTATTTACTTAAAACTTTTCATAACATATGGGGTTTTCCATTCTTAAGTTGTGCCCTCTTTTAAGGAATAACGGGCCATACACATATTAGGTAACACACTTTTTCGTAATTTTAAACCCCCCCCTTCTCTATGTAACGCACCGTAACACTTGAAAAATCCCTTCCCCCCTTGCGTTACGTAACTCGATCGTTGTAGACTTTAATAACAGCTTAAGCATAATTTTGCTAGTGGAATATAGATTTAAATAAACCATTACACTTGTAATGACTTTTGTTTAGTTATCTTTTTATGATAAAACCAAAATTAATACAGTCCAACCTCAGTATAACGAATGTGAAGGGACCGAACTGAATATTCGTTATATCAAGAATTTTGTTAAAACGAGGTTCGTTATATCGAGGTTAAGTTTGCAGGAATTTCGCTAAGTCGAGGTTCAGAACCAGCGTCGGTCAATATAGGTCGGGATTTTACCTCATTAAAATACAATTAAAGTAGCATAGGCTACGCTACAATACTTTACAGCACAGTGTTTACATTGTACAGTAGAACCTAAATTATCCGGAAAAATAAAGGGGAGGGATCTTGAATGTTGCGCAATCATGACAATAGCATTGACCTTGGTACAGGTTAAAAACTGTAAGTTTAAAATCACAGCTTGTTCTAACCCTCCTAAAACCTAGCCAAACACTGTATTGCGTAGTCATAAACCATGTAAAGAACAAAACAAAACAGTAGTAGAAAGTTTTGTAAGCTACTGCTCGTGATAGGCCGGTAGGCTACTTACGGTACAGTACTGATTTATCACAACAGAGGAATGTCAATAATAATCACTAACTATAGCATTGGTGTTGCTAGTTGAAACAAATCGTATTGAAAACAATCAATTATTAGATAAGTCATTATAAAAGTGTATAATCATAGCCAACTTAAGGATAATAAAAACACTCGTAAAAGGAATGTTAAGATAACGATGTTGCTATTCTTTCTCTTTGGTTTTGTTTTTATATTCTTTCTTAGTTTTCTCTTCATCCAAAAGTTGTACAATTCATAATAGTTATCCCATATCGCCCAATCACAGCTTGCTAAACATTACGTCGTCATCAGTCCTCAGTGAATGACATCAGTTCAGTTCTCAGTTGCAACATAGCGCGCGCAGCGACAGCAGACAAAGATGTAAAACGGAGTAGACGAATGTTAGCGCAAGCGATGACGTGACCTTACCATTTCATTTGATAAAGAAACAGATTTTCCCAAAACAATAATTGGGTGGGGGATTTGTTATATCGAGGGAAAGACGTAGACAATTCGTTATGCAGAGGTTAAATTCGCAATATAGAGGTTCTGACAATGATAAATTTGTTATATTGAGGTGTCTTATTTTAGCCGAAATCACGAAAAATTCGTTAAATCAAGGTCGTTGTTATGGTTTGTTCGTTATGTAGAGGTAAAATATACATTGTGTCTTATGGAGAGTTCTAGGGGATTAAAAAAAATCTTTATATCAAGGAATTCGTTATATCGAGGTTCGTTATATCAAGGTTAGACTGTACAAACAAACAAGATTGTTACTAATAATGAAGAATAAAAAGATACGTGGACCTATCTTTTTATACAACTAACTGATTTAGATATCATTTTACTTATTTTTGCATTTTTAAAGAGGAATATGTGTGCGTTCCTTCCCACATATGACAGAATAATGCTATGCCATACCCCCTCCCCCTTTAAGTGTTAGAGAAAGAATGCCAAGAATAAAAACATGTTTAAATTGAATTTACCTTCCAAAACAATCAAAATATATAGGTTCTTCCATTAGAAAAATCAAAGTTGGTGGCCATATTGGAAAAATGGCGGCTAAAATTATTTTTTCAACTGGACCAAAATTTGTTAATTAAAAAATCAAAGGCAAGTTACAATTTAACATTTTGTTAGCCTATATCTCTCATAACTCATAACTTTCGAATAAAATAGCTGGCACACTTATATCAATAACCCTGTATAAATAAACAGTATACAGGTTCATCAACTCAAGGAGGCCACCATTGGGATATCGGAAACGGTAAGAATTAGAGAAAACTTTGAATGGGGGACATTCCTTTATTTTTTTGGCAGTTAAAAATATGACTATTTTTTTGAAATTCAGCCGCCATTTTCCAAAATGGCGGCCAAATATGAAATTTCTTATGGAACACCCTATATTTTATCATGTTTTCTGATAGAATATGCAATTTAAAAACTTTTTTATTCTTGGCATTTTTTTTCGATAAACCCACTAGTTTGGGAGTTACAGCCTATGGAAAAAATGACTTCTGGTGCACATTTTACATCATGTAGCTCCTAAACAAGTAGGTTTATAGCGAAAATGTGAAGAGTAAATAAGTCAAATTAGTCTTGATATTGCATCCACATTCCATAAAGACCATAAAATACACAGTTTTCCTTTTTTGAAGTTCGCCGCCATTTTGGAAAATGGCCATCATTTTTGAAATAATAGAATTAAAATTTTTAACGAACTTTTTGGTATTTTTGGAATGTAGATGCAATTTTAAGACTTATTTTACTTATTTACTCTTCCCATTTTCGCTATAAACCTACTTGTTAAGAAACTACATGATGTAAAATGTACACTGGAAGTCATTTTTCCATAGGCTGTAGCTCCTAAACGAGTGGGTTTATCGAAAAAATGTCAAGAATAAAAAAGTTTTAAAATTGCTTGTTCTATCCGAAAACATGATAATATAGGGTGTTCCATAAGAAATATCAAATTTGGGCGCCATTTTGGAAAATGGCAGCTGAATTTTTAAAAAATAAAATCATTTTTTTAACTGCCACAAAAAATAAAGGAATGTCCCCCATTCAAAGTTTTCTCTAATTCTTACCGTTTCCGATATCCCAATGGTGGCCTCCTTGAGTTGATCACTCTGTATATACTGTATATGTATGTGTATATATTTAAATATATATATATATATAAATATGAATTTGAACGGATGGTGGAACTGGCTTCTAGGGACATCAAAATGAACAAATAAATTGGTCCCGGGTCCAAGTCTTACCATGAGACCTACAGTAATAGGTTATTCCCTATGCGAAATTCGCAAAAAATCAGCCATTATATGTAATTTAAATTTTAAAACTAAAATGGTCGCCATTGAAATTTTGGATTGGGCCAAGATAACTTTGGTGTTTAACATGAGTGCTCAGAAGGAGCCTATAAATATCCAGAGGTCGATACAAAAGAAGTCAATGGGTTTAACTGACTTTTGTAATATAATTAAGGGCTCAGAGTTTAAGAAGCGTTCAGGAAATCCTGCAAACACTCAGGTGGAGCTATATTATCCTCACTCTCACAAAAATTGTTGTTGAGAATTTCGCCTAACTTGTAGAACGACTCTGTATGATTGATTCTATTTGGCCAATTTGATCAAACTACTCATATAAATCTATACTTTACTATGCAAAAAGTAATAAGAGAAATGAAGTTAAGGTAATTTACTTAATACAAATAAATTCCTACAGATTCTTCTAGTTTTATATGCAAATACAGTTTGTACAATTGTGTGTAATTTTGTGTGACAGATAATTTTATTTTTTCAGGTCGCGCGTCTGCCCAAGATTCGGCTATTGAGCCAAGAGCTTCTCTTGGACATTCTGACAGCTCTTGCAGACGACATGTCCGACAGCAAGATGTGCCAAGACATGTCCAGTATAAGTCTGAGTAGTGAGACCTACTGACCTCATTTTCGGAGGGTCAAGAAACTCTCATCCCCACTGTCATGAATACTCACTCTCTATCTTGCATCACCTTCGACTGACGGACGTTCTCTAACCCTTTGACATCAGTATGCCTACACTCTGTTGTGGCTCAAAACAACTTTGCCCATTTTCATTCTAAAAATGGCTACAACTTTCACCTGATGGAATATTTACTCTTAACGAGAAGTGTTGTTTTTCTTTTCTAACGATTTACGCTCTGAACAATTTTGACAGAATCGATCAAAATGAAGAAGGATTGTCCCTGTTGCATCTATGTAACTGAAACGTTGACAGAAAACAGGCCTTTAGTGGTTGGTTCACTTCTTCTTATGTCCCACCTTCACATCCTAAAATGCTAAACTCTAGCCTGGAAACGTTTTACACTTAACTTCAGTCTAAGCCTAGAGGGCTGAGGAATGATCTCTAAACTAGATCAAATCCATTGGTGATTGATGGGATTCAGACCCAGCATGTCACAAACAGAAGTTGCACGGCCTACCATTAGGCCTGTTCGCTCTCCGTAGTTGGCTCACTGAACTTCTCAGATGTCATCGTAATTTAAAATTTGTGTTAAGATGATTAAATTGACGTTAACTATTGTTCATGATTGCAGATCGCACCTCCTTACTCTCAAATGACATCTGGCTCTTGTTTAGGTAGCTGCATGCAGTTTCTTTTTATGTAAAATTTCCAGCGAAGGGAAAAAAAATTCTGACGCTCTTATCTAGAAGGAAAGAACATCTTAGAGGGACAAAACTCTACTGCAATACCCCCATTTAGGTAGGACATAACAGTGTCCAAGGCAGGTTAAAGGCCCTTGGCCTGGAGAAAAATCCAGGGCTAAGGACTTTAAAATTACTAGACCTTTCAAAAAATTTAGACACAAATATTTTTGTGTCTAAAAAATTCAATTTTTTTATTAAATTTTCTTTGAGAGCGTTTATGAAGTAGGTACTTTTTCAACTAAACATTTTCTCCTGAGTTTCTCCTGGCTAATAAGCATTTCTTCTAAGCTATTTCCACATTACACCAGGATATAGATTCACTTTAAGCCAAATATGAAGATTTCTTTTTTGCCATGGCATGAACTGGCTGCAAGGCTGCCTAGTCATACCTTCCATGACAACGGTTTGCTTGTATGGTGACATGAAATGGACTGTACTCTCAGCCTAAAAAGCCTTGATACCATTGTCACAGTGAGTGTGTTCTGAGTTCTTTGCTGGATTTTCTTCACAACCTGATTCTGAATCGTCTCTAAAAAAAGTCTTTGCAAGAAAGGCTGCAGATTTTCACCGTCAAAAACTTTGGATGGATACAGGAAGTCATTCAAATCAATCAGTTGGTAATAAAGGATGTTTTAGACTTGCTATGAACATAAGAATTGTACTTATAAAATGGTTGAAAAAGATTAATTTATAAACGTGTTATTAATGGTTATGAAATGTATTAACATTTTTAATTGTTGCATTATTTACAGAGTCAAGAATGATTTTGTTGTTTCTTTGATCATGGAAATATCCGTCCAGTGTGCTATCGATAGGTTGAGATAACAGCAGATTTAGTCATTTGTTCCTGGTGACAGCCAAGATTCAGCTGCCACTTGTACATTATCCAATTCTCAACATTCCGACACTTCTCTCCTGCTTAGAGAACATGGAGAGACTAGACATTGATTTGTGCTCTGCTTGACCTTCTGCCTTTACTACCCAAGGATTTCATATGTAGAGCACTGACCTGGTGGTCCAAAAAGCTCTAAAACTTCTATACCATTGTTACAATCGCTCCCATTTGCAGGATGTCTCTTCACAGAGTATTGCTATTTACAACTCCTTCACTACTCTAAGGTTCATTGCGATTTAGGGAGATACGGTTTTGTGTTGTTTAATATTTATTATTATATTAAATGTTTGTATATGATAAAATATTTAATATAGTCCTAAGTACAGTAGTACAAGAAAACCCCAGACAGCTTCAAATGTGTCTTTCAATTATTTTAAATTCAAATGTATATGCTATGTCAAAAACCTAGTAGTAAGCTAATTTAAAAAATATTTATTGTTAATTTTAATAATGTGCGCTATAGAAATGTTAGAAAAAAATTATTTATAAGTTATTTTCAAGAGAGGTTTTAAACAAATAACTACTGTTTTAACAGTTTATGCATTTATTTTATATTTATTTAAGATATGATTTTATGGAAAAAAGCCCAATTATTATTCTTTAATCTAACTTAGGGATAAATGTATTATTGATTCAGAAAGTATTAGAAAGCTTATTAAAATTGTAATGCAGTCCACCTTCCTAATGTTATGATGTCAAATTTAGTTTTTTCCCAGATTGTTTAGCTGTGTATGTCCTTGTCTTTTAATGAACTGATAAATGTATGATTTTGTAACTATCATTTGGCGATGTATTAAGTATTAACCTCTAGGTATAACTGTTATTGTGATCAAACAAAACCTATTTCATTGTAAGATGATTATTGTTAAATAAAAATGTATGTTTTTTCCTTGTATCGATTGAGTGTTATATACCACTTGACTAGTTTGATTTTAGATAAACTCATGTTCTTAATTAAATCAATTCTCATTAAACTTGAATTAATATTTAAGATAGGTATTTTAAAAAACAATTTCATAGAATGATAGTAAGCGTGACCTTCCAGTATAGGTAAATTGATGTGTCAAAATATTTCAAGTGATTTTACAGTTAATAGACCAGTTTAGTGAGTAAACAACAATTTTCTGTAGCTATTTATTTCAGGAATTTGATTTGCATTAGTGAAACTTAATTTTTTCTATAGCGATTAACAATATCTACCAGCAAAAAACTTGCTAAAAAATATAGATTGTTTAGTTGTTGTGGCAAGACATGTGTTAAATTCCATTTTGAAATCTGTATGCACATTGACAGTCAGGTTTGTAACTCAAGAAAATCTGTGGTAAATTGCACGGTATTACCCACATGACCTTACAGCAGCCTCTAGAACTCAGCATAAAGGTTGGTTGAGAGATGGTGAATCATGTACCCTTCAATCTCACACATGCTAGAGCCAAACAAGGAGGAAGTAGGTTGGTCCGTTGACTGTTGATTATTGGAGCTTCCTCCCCCAACAGACAGGAAGAATGAATTTGATTTCCATTGACATTAAATGTGATTGGCTTACATTTGCATTGTTTATCATAATAATTGAGTAGGCCTATACTCGTAATGACCCCATTATACAGGGTGTTTCCGAATTGTCTGGACATATTTTGTGGACTTATTCCCTGGGCTAAGACAAACATAAAACCCGATATAAGTATGGGTCTAAAGTGCCTAGATTTCTGTCTGTTTGTGATTTTTATTAATTATTTAATATCTTGGGCATTTTTCAAGATAGAGATTTAAAATTTGGTATGAATGTGTAGTTCTTAAAGTAAAAAGAACTCTGAAAGGTGTGTTCCAATATCTCAAGCCGTTTCAATACTGCGACCATTTAAAATCTTTAATGCCAAATTTCATGAAAACCGTAAATATTAAGAAAATTGTTCACCTTACCAAAAAGATAGAGAATTTCAATACAAATCAAATGAGACCTTGTTTGTTAAAATTGGATGAAAAATAACTGAGTTATCAGTTTTTTTTCTACATTCGGATACGCAATTTAATAGGACTACCATGTACTCAAGTATGGTATACAAAAACTTTATACTTTTGCTCCAACTCCCCCATGTAATTAGCGGATGAGCCCTACATTTCAATGGCACAGGTTTTGCTATCAGACGCAGATGGCGGAAAGAAATCTGTTGCAAGAACTGCAAACATGTTAACTATGATCGAGTGTGATTGATCAAAATTTTTACCGCTGGTTTTACAGATTTGTTTAGGTGTGATATATTTTCTGTCCTTGTGGAATGATGTTTTTTAGTCAAAGAAGGCGATGTGTTTTTTTTCTTTTTTTTCATTACTTGCTAATGACGATTATCAGACTGAGTCCATGTTTACAGCCTCCTGAGCTGTAGTGTAACCAAAAAGCAGGCTGTTGTAATGATTGATAATCGATCGTGATTGAGTTAGAAAAAAAAAATATTGTTTTGTTAGATAGTTAATATGAAATCTATGGCAAATAGAAATATGATTTATACTGATTTTAATGGTTTTATATTTAGAAAAATGATTCCACCGACCTTCATTGATATTGTGGAGGTGTAGGTCCGCGACATCTGGCTGGGGTACCCCATCTTTATTGCCGTTGGTCGGCCATAATGGCGTCTCTATCCTGTCCAGTATTGTACACTTGAAACTGTCTCTTATTAAAAGTTTAAAGAACACAACTAAAAAGTATCTCTCTAAAAATAATCAGTAAAATAAAGATTCCTTTCGATAAAATAAAAATCTTTGCCAGGGCAAATAAAAGTTACTAGTTTAGAGTTTACTGGATGATGTAATCATAATGATGAACGGCAGTGGACTGTGTCTGAGCTGCGGTGGGTGTTTGTGTGGTGGACACACGATAAGAGAGTACAAAGGTCAAGAAAGAATTGGTTCCTAACACAGGCTTTATTTTTGTCAAGATGTAACTTTGGCTATGGGCCTTCCAGCATTACAATGCAATCTTCAGACACATGCAAATCTTGGCTGAAGCAGTGTTGTTGAAGTTAAAACTCAAAACTCGCACTGATATGGACACAAAAAAACAGGCCTGTCCTACACACAGTTTCGGTTGACATTGTCCCAATCTGAGCAAGATGCCAGCCCATAGATGGCATTGTAATGCCAAAACGGTCATTACAATAGTTACAAATTTTGATCTGATTGACGAAGGTAAAGCCTATTTTTTTAGACTGAATCAAATTTACTATTGCATTTTTATTTTTTATTTCTTCTTTTTGTTGACTCAGAGAAACCTCAATCTTCCCTATCTGGAGCTTTAAGTGCCTAATTTCAATCTCAGCATTTTCTTGATAGCTTGAATAGTCTTCAAAACCTTTTTATTAAGTTTCTTGTTTTCTAGAGAGTGTTTTAACACGTTGAGTGCTAATGATTATGAGTATTGAGACCCTAAAATAAAAAAAATTATGATGTGATTACTTAGTCAAAAATGAATGTCAGAATATCCAAAACGATTAAACTAGATGTCTCAATGTCTATTTTGGCTGAAATTGGTGACGTCACATCCAGGGCGGGAATTCTCCTCCTTAGGTACTTCCGGTCCTTGTCCAACCTCCAACTATTTTTCAGCTCCATACGTCGTCATTCACACAGTAAATTGTGTTTTTTTTTCACATTCAATAGTTCTTATGAAACCACTATTTGTATACAAAATATATTTACATCCCCTCCCACCCCCATCTATTAAGTCTTTTAGTGTACTGAAATTTCAACCATAAAATGTTTTCAAACCTTTTAAATAATATGTAAGAGTTTTATATTTTGTATTGGAGTAATAAAAACTATAACTAAAACATTAAAATTACAAAGTGTACTAAAGTTAACACCCAGCACAATATAGTTGACACAAACACGAAGCACGGTCAAAAGATTGGTATGGCCGATACGGAAACAAAGCTCACCAAAAGTTTTAGCAACACTTGTTTAAAACGGGGCAATCGAACACAACGTTCCCCGTGCGAGGCTGAGCTCATACTGAAGCAAGGTTGTTGTTATGGGAGGAGGACGACATTTCCCGCCCTGGACAAGTGGTGCCAGTACCATGGGGTGAGATTTCTCGCCACGTGCACTCAACGTGTTATCAAGTTTATTTCCTTCCGAGGGTAGAGAAATATTTTCTTTTAATTTATTTCAAGAGAAATAAGGATTTAATTTATTTCAAGCTAATACATTTTACTTATTTCATACTAAGTATTTAATGACAGGGATCAGGTCAACAATAGCATCACTAATGTATCTCTCTGATTTAGGTTTTTTAAGAAGGATAGAGAAAAGGTGATAAAATTGGCATCAAAAGAAGTCATAGTATAAGGTAAAAAAATTGACATTTTATATTTAATAATAATACTTTTTATTTACAAACAATTCAATAACTTTAAATACACTATATACAGGTTCATAACATTAGTAAAAAATTAAGAGCAATAATAGTTTGAACGGTTACTCATGGTGTAGGTGTTCATAGGAATACAGGTGGGCACCGGTTGTTGATCATAATCCACGTCATAGTAGATACCACTCTGGTTCTGTAATCAAATAATTTTCATTTATTCCTTTTTAATACATATTTTAAAGGGAAGCTAAGTGGCTGACCAAGGAATCTGAGAGTTAAAAGTATAATACCATCAGTGAATAGACTTTTCCTCAAAATTGACTCAGAAATTACGTATGGGCCTATGTCAGTTGTAATGATAATGATCGTTCATGATTTGTAGTTGGAAAAACAGAAGATTACTCCAATTTTACATTTCTCTTTAATATAATCTCTGAAGAAGTCCTGTATTAGAACAAAATCTCAGAGTTTTGTTTCATGACCTTTTCGTATGTCAATATCCTGGACACTAATTTGTCTAGGTTATCAGCTGAACCCTCTCTTTATTCTAAAATATTTCTTTTTCTAAATACAGTTGAACATGAATAGTTTTAACACCACAATAAAATTCAAACAGCAGGGTAAACAAATTCAAACCACCCAAAATTAAAAATATATCATTAGTTGTTCAATAAAATGAGTTTTAAAAAGGGTACTTAGTTTTTAATCATGTATTTTTATATCATTTGTATTAATATAAGGCTTGAAAATTGAAGTCACACTTTCAATTGAATAACTTCATTAGCAACACAAGGATTCAGTAAATTTGGGTCTTACTTATATCACTGTTAATTTTACTTCTTTAAGAGAAAATTTAAAGATTTGTTTACATTCATTTAGCTTTGGTGACATAATTTGTGATTGATTTCTACAAGCATATCAATATCTAAACTTACACAAAGATCTCAACTGTATACTTGTCCTGGGGGTTTCTTGAATGATGATAAAACAAGGACCGTCACCAGTACATTACTTGTACGCTCTATATGTAGATTCCATCAACATTCCATACATCGGACAAATCAATGTACCAGATGTCCCACAAAGAGGTCGCTATTTTCAAACTAATATACCAGACGCGTTGAACAAACTACAAACTTGTAACTCCACCACTACAATAAACACATATGTAAAAAAACTCTCCAGTCCCACTTGATTCTGACAATTTAGAACGAAATTACAGAGAAACAAACTTAACAAAAAATCTTTAGGGTAAAATCATATTTTATAGTGGTTGATGGACGTGAGTTCAAATGAATAAGGGTTGTAAATCAATAAATTTCATTTATGATTTACCAATTTCCTATCTCAATTTACTTAAGAAACAATGTTAAAATGGAAGAATAATTAGAAATAGGCCTAGTCTTGCAAATAAAAATACCCTATTGAAAACACACCATTATTATGCTTTTTTTAATTATGATCAGAATCAAGTAGGGCTATATAGTCCTCGCCACCCTAACTTGAGGCAGCCCAAGGCCGCACTAGAT